TATTTTCTTAATTAGCAATTGCTATGGGAGTGCCAAGCCCATTGTGGGTGATACCACCCCTGGGCTGGTGGTCCTGAGTTCTATAAGAAAGCAGATTAGGCAAGCCACAGCAAGCCAGTAAGCAGCATTCCTTTGTTGCCTTTGCATCAGCTCCTGCCTCCAGGTTCCTGCCCTGTTTGAGTTCCTGCCCTCACTGCCTTTGATGATGACTATTATATGGAAATGCAAGTGAAATAAACTCTTTCCTCCCCAAGTCCCTTTTGGTCATGGTGCTTCAAAACAGCAAAAGAAACCCCAAAAGACAGTCACCTACAACAGAAGGCCCATTATAAAGCTAAACCCCAGCAGACCATGTGCAGAGGCCTATATTCCCAAGCTGCCTCCATCCCCTAGGTACGCCACAGACCCTAACCAAACTTAGCCTCACCCCATCCTTGTGTAAGCCTCCACTACCCAGGGACACTACCTGAGAACCTGCTGGACAAGGCTGGCTTGGGAATCAAGTAGGTGATGGTCAATCTCCTCCCTTTTCACCACTGTCAATTCTCCAGTCTTGTCCCCAGCCTGACAGCAGACCACCTGCAAGGGCCTGCCTTCCCTTTCTGACTGCACTCCCTAGGGAGGGAATCCACAGACTCTCTAGGCAGACCCAGCTTTCCTTCTCATGTGGATCCTCTTACACACACCCCACTCTAGCCAATCCTCCTTATCCCTTCCTGTCAGACCCTAACACCTAGAAACACATTCTACCTAGGACCCCGCAGTGGCCACACCTGGCAAGGACTCAGGCAACCCACACCTACCACCCTCTTTTAAGATCCAGAAAGGGCAACGAAAACCAAGGAATAGAAAATCCCCACAACAAAGACAAAGCCAGGTATCAACACCTAGAATTACAAACATCCCAAACCCAGATGTCTAGACACCAACATAAAAACACTGTCAATAACCACTACAACAGTATGTCTTCACCAGAACCCAGAAACCCTACTCCAGGAGGCCCCGAGAAATGCAACATAGCTGAAGCACAAGACAAGGAATTCAAGTAGCTATTATGAATATAGTCAAAGATCTGAAAGAAGAAATTAATAAATCCATTAATGAATTCTATGAAAACACAAGCAAACAGTGAAATTAAAGGAAGAAAACAATTTAACACGTGAATCTAGAAATAGAATCATTAATAAACCCCAAACTGAGGAAATCTGGAAATTAAAAATTTAGAAGCTCAAACAGGAACCTCAGAAGCAAGCCTTACAAATACATGAGATGAACAAGAGAATCTCAGGCACTGAAGATACAATAGGAAAAAAAAAGATCCCTCAGTCAAAGAAAATGTTAAATCTAAAAAAATCTTGGTACAAAACATCCAGAAAATCTTTGACACTCTGAAAAGAACAAATCTAAGAATAATAGAAACAGAGGAAGGAAAAGAAACACAAGTCAAAGGCACACAAAATATTTTTTTAAAAATCATAAAAAATTCCCCTAACCTAAAGAAGTATTTCAAGGTACAAGAAGCATACAAAACACCAAATAGACTGGACTAGAAAAGAAAGTCCCCTTGGCAAATAATAATCAAAACACTAAATATAAAACAAAGAAAGAATATTAAAAGCTGCAATGGAAAAAGACCAAGAAACATATAAAGGCAGACCTATTAGAATTATACTGGACTTCTCAATGGAGAATAAAAGCTAGAAGGGCCTGGACAGATGTGCTACAGACTCTAAGAGATCACAAATGCCAGCCCAGACTACTATACCCAACAAAACTTTCACTCACTATAGATGAAAATAAGATAGTCGATGAAAAAGCCAAATTTAAGCACTATGTACTAGTCTAACTCAACTATGTTCATTGCCGCTCTAGTCATAGAAGCCAGAAATTGGAAACACCCTCGATATTCTTCAACTGATTAATGAATAAAGAAAATGTGGTACCTTTACACAATGGAATATCAATCAGCTGTTTAAAAGAAAGTGAAATCATGAATTTGGCAGGCAAATGGATGGAGCTAGATAAAGTCATCCTGAGTGAGGTAACGCAGACCTAAGAAGACCAATATGGTACGTATTCCCTTATATGTGGATGTTAATTGTGAAGTTCTCGGTAAAGAAACTATAATCCATATAAGCACAGAGGTTAAGAATAGACTAAGGGACTAGATGGGAGGGAAGGGTTTCTCTTGGGAAGAAAAACAGAATAGATAGTTACAGATGGACAGTGGGTGGAGGAGCACTGGAACAGGAGTATCAATCAGGGACCAAGCAAAAAGAGAGTAAGGGAGGGATACAGGGTGGGACAGCTAAAACACAGGGCCATTTGGGGGGTCTTGAGGAAACCTGATACATTAGAAGCTCCTTTAACACATATATTTAAGATATCTAAGAGGCTGGAGGGACAGCTCAGTGGCTAAGAGCACTGGCTGCTCTTCCAAAGAACCCAGGTTCAATTCCCAGCACTTGTCTGTAACTTCAATTCCAGGGCTTCTGATACCCTCACATAGACATGTATGCAGGCAAAACACCAATGAACATAAAATAAAAATAAATTATATATAAAAAAGATATCTAAATTGGAATCGCCTAATAATGAGGGAGACAAAGCACCGATTAGACATCTCTCACCAACAAATGAAACCTCTAGTGCTGGGAATGGGTTACATCAAATTAAGAAGTTGGTCAAAGGTGCCCTATAGAAACCTCCAAGCAACACAGGCTATTGTTTGCTCTCTAAAAACTGATGGTAAGGCCCAAATACTGAAGACAACACCAACACAACTCACCAATCACAGAGAAGTCAAGCTGGTGCCTACCTAGGGCCTTCACCCCTACTGAATAGTATTCATGGTGTAGGAAGGTACTCTGCACACGACAAAATCAGAAAGGTAAACACTAACACAGCTACAAAACTTTGGTCTAAAATAGTGACCTGCCTCTAAGATAAGTTGGTACCGTAGTGGTATAAAAGTTGTGGGAGTAACCAACTACTATCTGATTGGAATTAAAGTCCACTCCATGAGACGGAATCCATGGTCAACATTGCCCGAGTGGTCAAGAACCTGAGACTAGATAGGAAATGGATCTAGGAGACAACCAAATATTACCGTCCTGCTAACAGAATGTAGCAACAAGGCTCCTAACAACATTCTGCTATACTTATAGATGAGTATATTGCTCAGCCATCATCAAGAGAAGCATCCTCCTGCAGGAGATAGGAACGAATACAGAGACTCACAACTGGACAATGTGCACAGTGAGACCTTGGAACACTCTGTCCTAAATGGAATGTCTCCATCAAATCCCTCTCCTCAGGGTTCAGGGAAGAGAAAGCAGAAAGATCCTTTGAGCCATGGAAGGCACCAAGGAAAACAATGTCTCCAAGACAGAACAGGACTGATGCAAATATGAACTCATAGGACTGTGGCAGCATGCACAGGGCCTGCACAGATCTAAGCCAGATGGGGTCCCAGTGCTGAAAGGGGAAGTAGAAACAATCTCCTATCCCTAACTGAGAAACTATATCCAATTGAAAACTGCCTGCAAAGGACAGATTTTTTTCAGTGAAGTATCACTGGGTATAAAAACCACACATAAGGGCAGTCCCCATGACCAATGGCCAACACAAAACAAACTCAATGGTATTCTTAAAGGGGTTTTGTCTCACAATGTTTGTCTGGACAGTTTTTTTTTTTAACCTTACAGATCTTTTGCTTATGTATTATGGTTTCTGCTTGTGTGTGTGTGTGTGTGTGTGTGTGTGTGTGTGTGTGTTCGAATGCGTCTCAACACATGTATGTTTCCGGTGCCTTTTCTTTGGCTCTTTTTTCCTGTTTATTTTGTCCTACTCTGGTTTGTTTTCATCATTTTATTATTATCATTATTATTTTAGAATCCTGTTTGTATTCTGAGAGAGAAAAGAAAGGGTGTGGATTTGGGTGAGTGAGGCTCTGAGAGGAGTTGGGCCTCTCTCTATATAATCAGAATACACGGCACACAAAAAATTCTATTTTCAATAAAAATAACAAAGCCAAGCCCTTCCCAACTTAGTATAAATATAATTAACCGTAACATCATGTTGTTTTAAAAAACTATACACTGTGTTGACAGGATCAGCTATTACTAGCACTGTAAAATTAGCAATTGTAGATAATGCTTTAAGAGCACATGCTCTGCAGTTAGGCTGCCTGGGAACAAAATCTGTCACTTGATTTAGAAGTCGTTTAACCTAGTGACTCAGAGTACTCATCTGCACAAAACGAAACGAAAACCAACGAGAACACTAGGATTATGCCATGTTTGTTGAGGAATTTTTGACAGCCTTTGAAACACAGCTACCCAATACACAGAACTATGTAAATGCCAACTGTCATAAGAAGCTTCAGCAAGATTTCCTGAACCGTTAGGTTAGCCAGTGCTTGTCGATAAACAGCTTTTCGTCACAGGGAATCGTACAGCCATTTGCCCAGCAGCTGCTACCCAACTTCACGTTAATGCAGGCGAAGGGTCCCCTCTGGAAACTTGAGACTTTTCCCCAAAGCCAGCGCCTTCCTGATTCAACTAATTATAGCCTCCATTTCCCAGGAATCGTAGTAATCCGAAGAAAGAGAAGCCTCAGAAGTCAGTTCTGGCCAACCCGTGTTTTCTACAGTATAACCTCCTCCTAGAAAATCGACCTGGCGGAGGCGGAGCCTGAGGACAGAAGCCGGCGGCCGGAAAGGGCAAGAAAGTGGGCGGGGCCGGGGACGCGCGAGGCCCGGACCAGGAAGACGTGCTGCCCGAGCATGCCTGACACGAATGTCAGCGCGACCCATCTTCATTTGCACTTTCCATGCCCACAACATTGTAGCCCCTACCATCCACTGTCGAAAACATTATTTACTATCGCCATGTTGTTTCCGTATTTTTGCTGGGGTCAAAAGATGAAGCACTTAAGTCAGGCATATGCTAGGCACCAACAGAGGACGGACGCTTCGGAGGCGGGGTCCTTTGCTCGCGCCGAAATTCAAAGGAGCAGTTCCGGCACGGTTGTTGGGCTGCGGCGGATGCTGTCCCCGGGATGGTGGCGTTCGCCCGATAGCACCCCAGTACAGGTCGGGTGGCCTCGCTCTCCGCTTTCGCGTTGTGTAGGAACTTTGCTGCTTTCCTCGGCCGGGGCGGCTTTGTAGCCGGTGCGTTGTGCGGCCTTTGGCTCGGCCTGGTGTCTAGGCGGGAGATGGGGTCCGGGGGCGGGGGAAGGCTCAAGGAGGGACTTCAAGCGATAATTAGAGATCTTGACGGTTGTTTATCCTTAAAGTGGATCAGGAAATACTTGGGGGAAGCGAGTAAACACTGAATTTTAAAAAAGAGGCTGTAGAATGGATTCACCTCGTCCTTAAGGTCCGCTAACTACCCGGGTCCTGAGTGTCTTGCGTTCGGAGGTTCATGGATGTATGTAGGCCAAGGGCATAGCGGAACTTAGGACGAGTTGGATAGACAGATAAATGCTGCTTAGTGTCATCTTTTACTGCCATGGAGGAAAAAGGAATGAGGGAGTGCGTGTGCTTTTACTTAGGGAGAGCCAGAAATATTTACCTAAGGTGACATTTATGCGAAGACGTCTGCAGTAAAGGGGGTATCGCTTCCAGTACCAGGAAAGCACATTTGTGGAGAGGAGAATGAAATGTGAAATTACCAATAGTCTTTATCAACTACACTGTTATTAGACTGCAGCACAAGCCTAGGAAAGTGAACAGTAGTGATAAAGATGGTGACTTCCAGACAGTGGCTAACTGCTGGTTATTTTTAAATCCGAGGAAGCCATTTTTAGAAATAAAGGTAGTTTGGCAAGTGTATTTTTCCAGTGCTCCATATTCTTATGTATTGTCATATTTACTGTGATTTGGGCTTTTTTTTTTTTTAATCTACTTATGGGATGCTATTTCTGTTTTATACAGACCTGGCTTGTAGCTTGTTGCCCAACAGAGGCTTACTGGCCCAAGACAGTATAGAAAATGTATGTTAAGTCAATCATTCTCGAAGGATTCAAGTCCTATGCACAAAGGACTGAAGTCAATGGTTTTGACCCCCTCTTCAATGCTATCACTGGTTTAAATGGTAGTGGAAAATCCAATATATTGGACTCCATCTGCTTTCTCCTAGGCATCTCCAACCTGTCTCAGGTAAAGTGTATACTTTATGATTTATGTAAAGTTTGCCTAGGGCATCTTTGTTAATCTTTGGAGACTATTGAATTTTTTTCATTCCCATGTTTGTACTTCATGTGGATTATGGTATATCGCAGTGCAGCAATTTAAGCAAATACTATTATTATTCCATCCTTTAGATGAAAAGATAGAAACTTTGAGGCCTTGCCTCAGTTTCCCCCTCTTAAACTGTTGTAGTAATGCCCACACCATTCAGTGTAGTCTCAGCTTAGAGTTGTGTACCTGCTCTTCTGCCTTACAGTGCCCTTTTAGGCTGTACTAATGGATAGGGTAGCTAGTAAAGTTCATAGACACTACTTACTTGAGTTTTGCAAATTAACTTTTACTACATTAATAAAAATCAGTTCAAAATATAATCAAAGTTTTATTGAAAAAGGTACCTATTATAGGTTATTTATAGTCCTCAGTCCTTGTTTTTCTTGCTGATGGATGTGACTGCCTGTGTTTTACTTAATACTACATAGGTGGGTTTTCCAAAGAAAAACATGTATTTTTAATGCTGCTTTTGTACAATATGAAGTTTTGTCAATGAACTTTTCTTCTTTAATTATAGGTGCGGGCTTCTAATTTACAAGATCTAGTTTATAAAAATGGGCAGGCAGGAATTACCAAAGCCTCTGTTTCAATCACTTTTGATAATTCTGACAAAAAGCAAAGCCCTTTAGGATTCGAAGCTCATGATGAAATCACAGTAACAAGACAGGTAAGTAGATGCCAAATATTTGGATACCTTATATTGTGTGACACTATTTCTGGGGGGTTTACACATCCCAGATAGGGAACCAACAACAGACCAAAGTGTGCGTACCACCAGATTCCAACAGGATGGACAGTGAATTGTACTAGGGATACTCACAGGATTTGGGGTAAGGGATTACTACTTAGAGGGTTGGAAATGACTCAGAGACAGCTGTATCATCCAACATGGTGGCAGCTCACAAAGCTAGGAACCTGAAGCATACTTCCTAGCTTGTAGGCAGCTCAACAGATTGGAGAGTATCTTTTCCAGGTATCTCATTTGATCTAAACCTCTTCCAGGCAGCTGGTCTGGTCTCAGTCGCCTTTGCAACTTTTCTCCTCTCAGAGTCTTCTTTGCAGCTCAGCATCCTTCCTTCTGAGGGCACTCAGCTTCTATCGCTTACTCTCACAGGGAGGGGCTTAGTGAGTCTGGTCAATTTCAAGGAGTTCCCGAAGCTATCATGAGTTGTTTATGTCCCTGTTTAAAGAGCTTCCCTGTAGGGTGGGACATTGCATTCAGCCTTGGAGGAAACTTATACAACACTGCACCATGATATATTAGAGCCGGGGTTCTCAACCTGGAGGTCGGATGACCCTTTCACAGGGGTTGCCTAAAAACATTGGAAAACACAGATATTTATGTTACAATTCATAACAGTAGCAAAATTACAGTTATGAAATAGCAATGAAGTAATTTCATGGTTGGGGTCACCACAGCATGAGAAACTATATTAAATGGACACAGCACTAAGAAGGTTGAGAACCACTGCATTAGAGAGTTTCTCTTCCAGGCAGCTCAGCTGATCTGAGCATCTTTCAGACAGTTTCTGGTCTTAGGCAAGAGTGTCTCTTAACAGTGCTTCTTATGTAAGATTAATGGGGTATAGAGGTGGGCCATGAGTCTGCTCAGTTCCAGGGATTTCCTGACGGTTTTAAGTTGTTTACGTCCTCAGTTTTAAGGAGCTTTCCTGCAGGATGGAATGTTTTCATCTCTGGTTAGAAAGAACAGCCTGTGTCTCAAGGAGTGTCTCACTAAGATAGAATGTTCTTTCTTGGAGGAAATTGCAACATAACACCTAAACGTTTCAAATCTAATGTGTTTCTTGGCAGTACGGTTCAGTAAAAGCTGCCTGGGACTGTGTTGATGAGCAAATCTTAGGAATACTGACTAGAACCCTAGAATATATCTTTCTTAGAGAGTCTTGAACTGCAGAATGGTGCTTCTGTCAATAATGAACTGTATATTTGATAGTGCCCCTGTAAGATGTAAATGTATCATCCATAAGAGAATGGAAAGACATGTTGAGAGTCTTCATCTCATGTAAGCACTCAGTTATGATGAGAACTTAAGCTTTGCCAGGTTTGAGTCTTTCTTCCCTGTGAGCACCTTCAGTTACTTCAGATCTTGCTTTCTATTCTAGTTTTGTAAAGAAATTATTAAAAACTAATCTTAAGTTCAGCAGACGTCTGCTAACTTAGTTTCATGTATTAATCTTGGTTCTCTTGAGAGTTTGAAGATGAAATTGGACTTTTTTGTATATTTCACTATTTTGATTGTCTACAGGTCTAAATATTTTCTAAGTGGAACCTTACCAGAGCTGTCACTTAAACCTCTTTCCAGGTCCTTCATTAGCCTAATTACCCCCCAACCCCTGCCATATACATTTTTTAACCTATGTGGCCTCAGATACAGTGAGACAAAGAAGGCTAATAAAAACAGATATGAACAGAATTAGCATTTCTTCATTTTAGATACTCCACTGGTTTTCTTAGGTTTTCATTTCAATATCCACAACATGACTTGAAGCTGCTCTGATGTTATGTATGTTATTACTTAGCTTCGTTACTGCCATTTCTTTTAAAATCATTACAGGCCTGTCATTAGTCCTTAATTTTTTTTCTTATAGTCAGTGCTTTCAGCTTCTTAGTTTTTAAAAATTCTATTAGTTCTCACTTTCTGTTTTAACTTTTGTTAATACAGGTTTTCTTTATTTTTATCAAGCTTTTGATTTATTTATTTGTTTATTTATTTATTTATTTGGCTAGGGCAGGATAGAATTCAGCTCTTTGTTAGGTTTTTAGTAGCCATAAACAGCTACTTTTTGGGAATTGTTTCTACATACCTATTTAATCTACATAATTTTTTTCTATCTTTATTTGGGTCATGAGACTATTCTTACCAATTTTTTTTTTTTGTATAAAATTTTTGTTTTATTTATGGACATACCTCTCAACCTAGTAATCCTGTAAAAAAAGTAAACTAACTTTATTCAGTATTTATTAATTACTGGTGTGTATTGGAGATTCTTGAATACAGTTCGGTGTATATTTTGAGAAGCAAGTCTCTCCAACTTTGGTAACTGTGACAGTCATACCCTAAATGGAAATTTTGGAATTATAGTAAAATGTGAAGAAGACAGGATCTAGAATGTTGTGATGAGCCCAAGCTGAAGTGCCATTACTCTCTTTCTTTGAAGTTGTCAGATGCCATTTTAATGAACTCCTTTTAGAGTTTTGTCAAGAATTCATACCAAAATCCATGTGTTTAGCTTTTAGTATCTTCTGTTCCCGTTAAAAAGTGAAAGACAGATAATAACCTCCAAGTGTAGTCAATTTCAGAACATGATCAGGAAAGAAAAATACATTTTATACGTACTGGAAAAATCAAGTTAGATGTGACCTAGATGAGATACTTAGTTCAGTGCAGGTTAATAGGCTTGTGCAGTTACATGAACTAGTAGTTAGTCAAAGTACCTCAGTTGTCCTAACCTGAATTAGTGTTCCTTTTGACTGTGACACACATCTTCCACTATTTACTCAGGATTGGGTGTGCCATTACATGCAGAATAGTACAAAGTAATAGATATTGTCATTTATTATTTTGGTACAAAAATGTTCCTTTATCTTAAAGGTTGCTAAATACTTCCTTTTTAGGTGGTTATTGGTGGCAGAAATAAATATCTAATCAATGGAGTGAATGCCAATAACACCAGAGTCCAGGATCTCTTTTGTTCTGTGGGCCTGAATGTTAACAACCCTCACTTCCTCATCATGCAGGTATCTTGTTGGGATCATTTCGTTCTTTCATAATGGTTTTACTTTTGTTTTTCATTTGTTTCATAAGAGAATTGTGGGATTTTTTTATATCTGTTTTCTGTGTCTTTATTTGCATTTTCTGTTATGTGATGCTTTTTTGCAGTTAATTTTGTAAGTGAAGCCAATATCAGATAAGTTTAAAAAAAAGTGTGTCAGGATTTTATAGCTGACTGAATGGAGCACCCCTCCCCACAAAAAAAAGTCAGAGGAAGAAAGATTTTTTTCATTGAGGTTTCCAGGGTTTCTTGCCCATTGTTGACCAGCTCCATTGCTGTTTGCCTAAGGTGAGGCTGAAGTGTTACAAGTGGAACCCCATGGCAGAGTCAAGTTGGTTACCTCATGGGTTCAAGAAGCAAAGAGAGATGTGCCTTAGAAACCCAGTTTCTTGGGGCTCGAGAGATAGCTCAGAAGTTAAGAGCTGGCTTCTCTTCCACAGGTCCTGAGTTCAATTCTCAGCAACCACGTGGTGCCTCAAAACCATCTATAATTCGATCTGGTGGTCTTTTTTGGCATGTAGGCAAAACACTGTATACATAATAAATAAATAAATCTTAAAAAGAAAGAGAGAGAAACCCAGTTTCTCGAGACCTCCACTTCCATAGTTTCTAACCTCACAGTCTAGTGATAGCTACATCAATGGATTATTGATTGACCATTGATTAGGTCAGTGTTTTCATGATTGAATCTTGTCCCTAAAGCCCCACCTCTGAATGTTTCATTGAGGATGACACCTTCAGCTCTTGAACCCTGTGGGGGAATACTTGATATCAACACCATAGAATCGTTATCTTATAAATTATTAGTTTTAAAGCATTTTAATACTTCAAGGATAAACTGAATAATGTCCTTCAAAGACTTAAGCAAATGAAAAGTAAAGTTCCATGCTAGCATTATTTTATTTGGTTCATCTAACCGTCCATTAAGAGAGTCAAAGCAGGGCTGGAGAGATGGCTCAGAGGTTGAGAGCACTGGCTGCTCTTCAAGAGGTCCTGAGTTCAATTCCCAGCAACCACATGGTGGCTCACAACCATCTGTAATGAAATCTGGTGCCCTCTTCTGTCCTGCAGTCACACATGCTGTATACATAATAAATGAATCTTTAAAAAAAAAAAGAGAGTCAAAGCAAGTGCCAAAGTCAGGATCCTGATGGGACCATGGGGTTGTCCATTTTATGTTGCTATAAAGGAATAGCACAGACTGGGTGATTTCTAAACAATAGAATTTTTTTTTTTAATTGGTTCATGGTTATTGCAGGACAATGAACATGGCACAGGTATACAAGGGCAAGAGAATGGGGGAGCAAGCATGGCCGAACTCACTTTTTATTATGTGCTTAGTTATAGTTAATAGCAGCCCAGTCTAAATATCATTTATCTCTTCACTAGCCACCTATTACTACATCCCACCTCCCAACATCATCGCATTGGTGATTAAGTCCATAATGCATGAATTATGAGGAATATATCCAAACTAACTAAAATAAAAATGTATTCACTACAATCTGGCTTCAAAGCTGACAGTTTACTTTCAACCAACTCTAAATTATGACTTGTAATCTGAGGCCTGGATAAATAGGTTTTGGTTTGGGAAGTGAATATAGTTGATGATTTCCTGCCACTGGGAAAAATACAGTTCCACTTTAGGCCTGGAGTCAGATGATCTGCTTTCAGAAGATAGATTGCAGGGTTTAAAAAATAATCAAGAAATGCTTAATAAGCCCACATCTAGTTTAGAATCTCTACTTATACATTTTTATTACTGATCCTTTCAGAAGTAAATGTCCTGAATTAACCTTGTGTAATTTGTATCACTTAGTAACTTAATTTGTGTCACTCTGATGAGTGAGTTCCAGCAGCTTCCATTGAATGGCCTACTTAGTTGACATTTTTTTATAGCTCATTGTAGTTAAACTAAATTTGTTGCTTTCTTTTCAGGGCAGAATTACAAAAGTATTAAATATGAAACCACCAGAGGTAAGAGTATTATTTATAAACAGCAATCTGTTTATTCCAGGCAATCTGATTTTAAAAGTAGTTTCTTATTAGAAAAATAGCTTAATATTTAGCACTGTGTCCATAGTTAAAAGATCTTGACTGTATAACACAGTGTAGCTAACTATGTTGGGATGAATTACCAAGGAAAAATCTGATGGGAAAAAAAGTATATGAAATTAGCTTCTTTTCTAGAAAACATGAGGTGGGGCAAGGGACTTGTAACCAACTGCCTTGAAAGTAGTTGGTGCGATGAGATGAACTTTTTACTCCTTAAGAGTCTGTAACCGACATCACTACCCTATTTAAGTAAGGTCAAGTGTACTCTCACTAAGGTGATGTCTTAGTGAGAGTTACTAATTTAAAGCCTGGTGAACGTGTACAAATCATAGTGAATTCCAGGAAAGAAATGATCCTCTGCAGGTGGGGAGTGAAGATGGTTAGGAACTTTGTAAAAGGTGCTGTCATGCATTTGCATTGCTTTGTTTAGTTACTAGTGGTGGCACAAGACACTGCCCTCGCTCTGAATAGAGAAACGGAAGCATAAAGTTACTTGTCACAACTTGTCACTAATGCATGTGCCATAGTCATTAAGCATATATGCCATGCTTCAGCCTCGGAATAAAATTGTTGAAGTCCAACTTAAAACATTAAAAAAAAAACTTTTTTTAAAATTGCCATTTTTAGACTTGTATCAGGAAGAATCAGTAGCTTCAATTTCAGAAGAGATAAACATTGGGAAATTAATGTAGCAGAAGGCTTGATTCAGAAATAAGAGTGAAGCCATAAATATTTCTTCAATTAAGTGTCATGGTCATATATATGTTTTAATTTGATTAACTTTTATAGGGGGGTATATATTACTTAGTAAAATTCTGTTGAGGTCAATGTAGTGGTATAATTAATGTTAAATTCTAGTGAGACACATTGCTTTGAATTCTTAATACAATTGTCATTCCAGATATTATCCATGATTGAAGAAGCTGCTGGAACCAGGATGTATGAGTACAAAAAAATAGCTGCCCAGAAAACTATAGAAAAAAAGGAGGCTAAGCTGAAAGAAATAAAAACGGTAATTAAATAGACATGAAGCAGTTTTGGAGAAGAATCTTGCATTTGGAGTTTATGCTGTAAAGCGAGTAAACGTTGCTCTTCTTAGTTCTGTTCTCCATAGTCTTTCATGTACCATGTCTTAAAACCAGAATGCTTAGATGTATTTTCTATTGGTACTTGACCTACTGAAAATATTGCTTGCCTTTTGTTTTCCAGATATTGGAAGAAGAGATTACTCCAACTATCCAAAAATTAAAAGAGGTATATGTTATATGTTTGATATATAGTTAGGATGGTTCTCAATATTGCTGACAGATCCTAAGTTACATAAATACTGCAGAAGTGTCTACCATTTCTTGGGAATTTTTCTATGGGATGAAATACATTCAAATTAGTATTCTGTAATTCAGCCTTCTACTTTCTGTAGATATGCATTTCCTATCTAAATCAAAATGATATTAGAGAATAATCTTCATAATCTTGGATATAATATTTGCAGCCCCAGGCATAAAACTTGTGATGTTTAAGTAGGGAAAAAAAAGTGTTTGTAAAGCACATTGTTTTTGAAGATGTGCCTACTTAAGACTTACTAAGTACTCATTGAAATTTGGTATTGGTGTTGCTCAACTCTTTTTTTTTTTTTTGGTTTTGTTTTGTTTTTGGTTTTTCGAGACAGGGTTTCTCTGTGTAGCTTTGTGCTTTTTCCTGAAACTCACTTGGTAGCCCAGGCTGGCCTCGAACTCAGAGAAATCCTCCTGGCTCTGCCTCCCGAGTGCTGGGACTAAAGGCGTGCACCACCACCACCCGGCAAAGAAAGCCTGGTGGTCACTGCCTGAGGAAAACTGATTTTCCGGAGCTGAGGACAGAACCCAGGGCCTTGTGCTTGCTAGGCAAGCACTCTACCACTAAGCTAAATCCCTAACCCTGGCTTAACTCTTGATAGTGTAGATAATTTGGAAAAGCTGAAAAATTGTGGTCTGAAGGCACCCCCCTTTTCATTAGTGGCAAACAATAGATTAGAAATATAAACCTAGCCGGGCGGTGGTGGCGCACGCCTTTAATCCCAGCACTCGGGAGGCAGAGCCAGGCGGATCTCTGTGAGTTCGAGGCCAGCCTGGGCTACCAAGTGAGTTCCAGGACAGGCGCAAAGCTACACAGAGAAACCCTGTCTCGAAAAACCAAAAAAAAAAAAAGAAATATAAACCTAGCCTTTGGACCCCTATTTGACACAGTCTTTCTAAATCTGGTAGCTGGGAGAGGCAGTGAAGTACTGTGAATTTTTCTTTATCTGCAGCTTCTGGAGTTTAGTTGCTATGTTGCTTCAGTGGGTCCACATGTGAATCAGCTGTGTCACTAATATGCAAGCAAGTTGTTGTGGTACTTGAAAGTTCTGTAGGAATCATAGTGACACTGTCGCCAAATACATTTAACAGTGTGTCCCAGTGGGTATATGTACTTTATAGACTCATACCACCAGTTTATAAACCTTGGAGACACTTTTCCTTGTTAATCTCAACTGCTTGATCGTAATTTAAAAATAAAAATGGCCATATAGAATTCTTTAGAGATGGGATAATGCTGTCTTAAAAGCCAAAGTTCTGAGGTTAAAGTCTCTAAAAATTTAAAGTGATGTCATTAAAGACAAAAAACTGTGAGATCATATAAAGAAAAATTTGATCCAAGTTTGCTATAGTGAGGTCCTTGTTAATCTCAACTGCTCAATCGTAATTAAAAAATAAAAATAAAAATGGCCATATAGGATTCTTTAGAGATGGGATAATGCTGTCTTAAAAGCCAAAGTTCTGAGGTTAAAGTCTCTAAAAATTTAAAGTGATGTCATTAAAGACAAAAAACTGTGAGATCATATAAAGAAAAATTTGATCCAAGTTTGCTAAAGTGAGGTTCTCCCTAAATTTGTTTTAAGAGTATGAAATTTGAATTATTATTTACTATAATTTTTCTTTCAGGAAAGATCTTCATACTTGGAGTACCAAAAAGTCATGCGAGAAATAGAGCACCTGAGTCGTTTATATATTGCTTACCAGTTTTTGCTGGCTGAAGATACCAAGGAGCGCTCAGCTGAGGAACTAAAGGAAATGCAGAATAAAATATTAAAGCTTCAAGAAGTACTATTAGAGAATGAAAAAAAAATAAAGGCTCTCAGTTGTGAGATAGAAGAGTTGGAGAAAAGAAAAGATAAGGTCAGAACAAACAAATTAGATAAACACTCTCGAAAAACTATAGCGTAACTAGGATTCACTGGGCAATGTTTTCCACGTTGGTTTGTTAATCTGAAAACAGTGATATAGCTTGTAAAAGGCTAGTATATCATAGAAATCACAGGAGAAAATTGTAACATTAGCACAGTAAGTGATGTGAATTGTGTATATTTGATTGTAGGAAACTGGCGGCATACTCCGATCTTTGGAGGATGCTTTTGCAGAGGCTCAGCGAGTTAATACTAAGTCTCAAAGTGCATTTGACCTCAAGAAGAAAAACTTGGCCAGTGAAGAAACCAAACGTAAAGAGCTAGAAAAAAACATGGTTGAGGTAAGCAAATAGAACTTATTTACAGTAATGCTCATTTGTCTATGTTATGAATTATGCACAGGGGACCCGAGGGTATTCTGCTGTGCAGGGAAACATGCTGGCATGCTGGGCAGATGCAGTGGCAGGCTGGTGGGTGATCTACACCATGTGGACATGGTGGCAGGGCAGCGGATGGACATTCACAACCCAGACACTGCATCCACACAGAAGTGGTTTATTATAATAGAGAGATGAAAAGAAGTTAGGAAAGGGGAGGGGGTGTCCAGGGGTGTACACTTCATGGGAGTGGAGGGGGTGGGAAGAGGAAGGGGAGGTATTTTTTTTCCTTTACGTCAGGACACAGGGCGGCCCCAAGGGGCGGGTCAGAATATTAACAGTCTATTCTGTTCATATTTAGTGTCTGCTACCAGGTAAGTATAGTTGTTTGAGTCAGGAATACAAAAGTGGGGAAAAGTGATTTAAAAAGAAAGAAAAAAATCTCTCCCTTTTGGATCCAGTTGGGGAAATGGTAAGTAAAATATAAAGCTTGTTGTACAGTGATAACTGATGTAATAAAAACAAATGAACAAATAAAGTGAGAAAAAAATAGGTGTAAGGGAAGTGTGCCAGTAAATGTCCTGAAGGCCAAGTGAGATCCTAATTATAGTGTGGTCACATGGTATACATTGACAGCAGAAAACTACGTGAGTGAGACTAAATGATTTCTTTTCCTCTTTTTTGAGGCAAGGTCTTAACTTCCTGCACAGACTACTCAAAGGATCTTAAACTTCTGGTCTCCTAACTGTACCTCCCAAATCATAGGATTACAGGAGTACACTTTCATGGCGAGTGTGTGGGCCTCATTCCATGCTAAGGCAGAACTCTACCAGCTGAGCTGCATTCCTTGTAACCTCCATCTCCTTCCTTATTCATTTTATTTGTTTTTAAAGGCTCTCACTTTGTACTCCAGGCTATTCTGAAATTCCCTTTGTACTGAAGACTGATCTCTAATCTGTTGTGATTCTACTATATTAGCCTAGTGATTACTGAGATGTGATGCATCATGCCCAGTGAATAAAAATTATTCTTAAGATACATTTCCTTTGAAAAGAAAAGAATGGAGGTACTAACTGGTAATATAGGAGAATTTAGAAGAGGGGCTTGACTTGACTTGGAACAATTAATAAAATATACAAAATAATTAATAAAATGTACACTGGTGGTAAAATCCCAGTGGTTGGTTGTAGTAGCTCAGACTTCTAATCCCAGCGTTCAGGAGGCTGAGATACAAATTTGTATTTGAGTGTAAAGTTAGAGGAGGCGGGCTTTGCAAGGGCTGGTAAAGAATAGATCATCCATGTAACAAGAAGTCGAGTATCTGGTCTCAATAGGGGATGTGTGTGATAGAGCACTAGGTGACTAAAAGTAGACATCACTGCTTTAAAGTATGAAAACAAAATTATCTCAGATACTGTTATATATAATCTATATATACAAGCAATAATAATTTTTTTAAGTAAAATATCAAAGCAGGGTTAGTGTGTTATAACAGTTATGTTTGTGGTACCCAAATGCAGAAATCCATTTTTGAGTTCAATTCATTTTTTTTTTTTTAAATCAGGTTTATTAAGGCTTAAATGTGTGGTCCTCTGCTTTGTTCTTAGCTCATTTTCCCCTTATTTTGGCATGGTTCTTTATCTTCAACACAAGAGTTACTGATTGTTACATTTTTTTGTCTCCTTTTCTGTATCCTTTATTTTTGATCTGTAAATGTTAGCGTGCCCCAGGCTAGTGCATAGACATCTTCTGTTTACACTCGCTTCTTAGGAGAATTTTATTCCTATAGCTTTAAATATAGTCAGAAATTTCACGCTTTCAAATCCAAGCCCAACTTGACTCCTTCCATGAACTCTGTGAAACAGTTTGACTGTGTACTGGTTGTCTGGTTATCAGCTTGTTTGAAAAGTCTATTAAGACAAAGTACACAGACACAAGATAATTATGAAGCTGGCTCAGGGTTATGACTTTAGTTAAAGAAGGTCAGCAACAGTCTAGAATTTGGGAGCTGATTCCTCAAGCTCAGACAAATTTCCCCAGGGGAGGTAGACTCCCTTCTGCACCATAGTCACTGGACCTCAGAAAGCCGCCTGCCCTGGGTTTTATGTCCCAAGATTTTTTTGAGGTGCTACACTAGATTGAGGATGGCCAGTGGCTGGAGGAGGACTGGAATACCAGTCCCTTCATAAGTCAGGATGTTACATTACCAGCAAATTCTACAGCCATCCACTGGGTCCATAAGCCAGAAGAGGAAATTTCAGTTAGTTCAGGGCAGGCTAGAAAGCTGTTCTGTGTTCTCCTGATTCCTAGATAAATCCCCTTAGCAAAGCTAGTACATTTCCTTTGCCTAAGGCCAGCTGGAAGTCTGGAGGAAGAGGTTTGTCTCGTTAGGTGTAACACTTTGCTAGATACACAGTGCAACTTTGTTGAGCCTCAGCCAGAACACAGGTAAAGAGACCCAGGAGAAACACTGCCATGTGCAAGATAGAAACCATCCTGCCTGCCTGGAGCAATGACGTGGCCCAGATGCTGGTAGTTCAAGTACTGTTACAGAAGAGATCAGAAAGCAAGTTGGAGGGCTGGCTTCAAAGCTAGAGGTGCTGGTAGTCGTTGATTTAAAAACTATAGCTCTCATCATTTCTTTGGGTGGGTGGATGGTGAGTAGGTGGGGTTCCTTCTGTGTAGCCCTGGTTGTCCTAGAACTGGCTCATTATAACAGACTGACCTCCAACTCAGGGATCCACCTTTCTCAACCTCCCAAGTGCCGCCACACCTGCCACAGCTCTCATTTTTAAAGGGAATACAAAAGAATTTATTCTGGAGGTATTTTAAGTGACCATGGCCTAGGAACACAGATATAGGTTACCCCAGTTCCAACATGGAAGCAGTTTCATGGGGTTTTTATAGTTTTACAGAACAAAAAATTCATAAATCAAGACAAGTTTAAAATACATTGGGGGGTACACTAGGGAGGCAGGTATAATGAGATTGGGGAGCTGTTTAGGATGCTATCCGAAGACACTTAGCTCTTGGATTGGCAGAATCTCGTTTCTGCTACATTAATAGCTTCTAAGAGGTTTTTAATTATTCTCAGAGGTGTTAGTTCAGATAGAGTGGGGCAAGGCGTGGCTGTTCCAGAGGCTAAAACTAGCCCAAGATAAAGCAATCGGTCTCTGAACCTACCAAATTCTAATCTCTCCTCTGTACTGAAATTCCATTCAATCCATTAGTCTCTGCAAACTCAGACTCTTTCCAGGGGGGTTTGTTCACAGCCAGACACAGCTTCTTTTCAGGGATTTCCAGTCACACATCACTCCTTTCAGTTGGGCTAGCAGGAAGTTTACAGGAGCGCTGTTCTTGTAAATGTAGGTTTTGAGGAAATTGAAAGATTGTAATGGGCTACCAAGACTGAGAGTGGTGAAAAATCAGCTGCTATGATCTGCCACAAGTATTTTACCATTCTTTTAAGAACACTGACTTCTTTGTATAGCAAACTGATTTATACCTCTAGGTAGGTCCCCAGTATACCTAGCATACAGCTATAGGCTCCTAACCTAGTGGTGCATCACACTCATAGGGGTCAGACCTTGAGATACCTCTAGCATACCCATTTTACAGGATTCCATTGTTTACCAGCTCTCCAAGCATGACGTAGGCCATCCCACGGTTTGCACAGGCTCTAGTCAGCATGCATAGAGGTTGAAGAAACATCTAATTTCATTGGGCTTATCAGACTCACAAGGTTTTAAAAGCAGTGTCCATACCCTAACTTGTTCAGTGCTTTGAACAGCCCTGTTCAAAATTGGCAGCTTTACTAAGAGGACCAAGACACCAGTTTTATGAATAGATTCCATCAATGCAAATACTTTCGTTTAGACTGAATCTAGGATACTTCTTGGAGATTTGGCCCAAGTGGTGTTGGCAATCAGCCTGTTGGGATAGTTTAGTCCCCATGCCTCAAAGGCCTTTCTGACTAGAGGGATTGTCCCGATGTATTTTATTTTAACAGGGTGGCTTGTAACCGTGTAGCTAAGTATGGCCGTGGACTTTCACCTTGTCTTCACTTTCCCAAATGCGGAGATATAGATAGGTGTGTTTCACCATTCCTGGTTATGTGGTCCTGGGGATTAGTGTATGAGGCTTTCAGTTCGCACAGTTATGTCTGTGTGATCATGGTTTTTGTTGAGTAGCCTATTGGGCCATGGGAAATTTATGTGGCATGAAGTGAGTATATGCCACTGTTGTGGTGTGAATCCTTAGCTGTGAGGGGACATACCCTCTCAGACTGTGATGGTGTTCTGTTCCATAAGCAGCCAAAATGAAGATGCAAATAATATATTCTGCAGTGGGAACCAGGGTCACTGGCACCTAAAATGGCCTAAAGGGCCCCACTCAAAACAAAGAAGCACTGTAGATCACTGCATTCATCTCATGATCTGGTGTTATCATCATAACTTTCTTTCTAAGAAAACCTTGAAAAGTGAATTCCTTTCTTTTTGTATCTCATCTTGACAGGGGTGACAGTGACAGTGTCCACTGTCTTAGTTTCTTACTGTTCTTTGTAGACTATCCCGAGAACAACCTAAAGGAAAAGGGTTTTATTCTGGCTCACAGTTGAAGGGAAGTTACAGCAGCAAGAGGTTGAATTGGCTGCTCTCATTGCTCTCAGTCATGGATATTGGTTTAAATATTAAGGCCACTCCACATAGTTAAAAGGGAGGTTATTTTGTGGGGTAACTTACAAGTGAAGGGATAGGTAACAGGGTCTGAGAAAGGTGTGGTGCAGTCCACCGGTGTTTCCTGGAGAACTCAGCTTGGTCTGCCTCCAGCGTCCAGGATCCAGGAACCAAGAGAGCTGGCCCATCCGGATCTCAGGTCTTCAGGGGTCCTCTCTCGGCTCCGCCTTGTAGGCATGACAGTTACTGAAGCCTTAATGGGGGTGGCACTTCCAGGTCAAAGCTGTACCGGCTACCCACTACACATGAAGCAACTAGTGTTGAATGCTGTGCTCATCTCACTTTTCCCTCTTGTCAGTTCAAAATGCCAGCTCAGGGAATGGCGCCATGATGGGTGGGTCTTCCCACCTCAGTTAACCTAATCAAGATAACCCACAGGCACATCCAGAGGCCCATCTCCCAGCTGATTCTAGATCTCATCAGTTGATTATTGGTGAAATTATTAAGGCCACTCCACGTAGTTAAAAGAAGATTTATTTAATGGCGTAACTTACAAATTAAGGGATAGGTAGGTCGTGGGGTCTGGGGAAAGTGTATCGCAGTCCATCGGTGTTCTCTGGAGCTCTGCTTGGGCCACCTCCACCATCCAGGGTCCGCAACCGAGAGCGCTCTCCGATCCAGATCTCAGGTCCCCAGGCGCCTCCCTTGGCCCCGCCTTGTAGGTGTGACAGTTGCCCAAGTCTCAATGGGGGTTGGAACTTCCAGATCCATGCTGGAATGGCTACCCACTACAGTTGATTGTTGAGGTGAACTACCAGAACAGCCCTGTGGGTCTGCAGTAGCCCTTTAACAAACAGATACCTTAGCAGGCTGTATAAATCTTCCTTAGCTGGAGAGATGGCTCAGAGGTTAAGAGCAGTGGCTGCTCTTCCAGAGGTCCTGAGTTCAATTCCCAGCAACCACATGATGGCTCACAACCATCTGTAATGAGATCTGGCGCCCTCTTCTGGCCTGTAAGCATACATGCAGGCAGAACATTGTATACATAATAAATAAATAAATAAATAAATCTTATATTTTGCCAGGCGGTGGTGGCGCACGCCTTTAGTCCCAGCACTCGGGAGGCAGAGCCAGGCGGATCTCTGTGAGTTCGAGGCCAGCTTGGTCTACAGAGCGAGATCCAGGACAGTCACCAAAACTACACAGAGAAACCCTATCTCAAAAAAATACCAAGAAAAAAAAAAAATCTTCCTTAACCTTTCTCTGTCTCTCTTCTAGGTAGTCTGTTTCTCTGGAGGCTATACTGTGTGTTACTTCCCTCTCACATGGCTCAGGGCCTGTAACCTTCTTCCTGAGAATTCTAACCTTTGGGATGTGAAGTTACATTTTCCCCAAACTGGATCTTGTGCTGAACTCCCATATTTGTACACCCCCCCCCACACACACACCCCTCTACATCAGATGTGTGTAGCCAGCTCATTACTTTATGGAGAGAGTAGCCTAGTTCCAGTTTACTGTGTCTTTCTCCCTAAAATGTCAGGCCATGTCTGTGTCCATAAACTGTGAGAGACATGTCTACTCTGTACTGCTTATCGGGCTAAAGCCACTTTTACTTTTTCAGTAAAGCTAACGGGATCCCCAGTTTTGTGAAGCATATTCATTCGCTGTGCACTGGTTACCAGCCTGGCAGTGACACAGCAAGTTATGGGAAGCAGATTCATTTCTTCCCTACAGGTGGTGATTATGTAGGAGCCGGGATTATATTGCGGGCCTTTCCCACATGACCCTGGAAAGTTGTCATGGGTGAATGGAGTCGCATCTGTGTATATCCATTTGACCTGCAACTGTGGGACCTCAGGAAGCACCCTGATAAGAGACTTACACACTGAGTGAAGTGGGATTTACCTAGAGTGATGTGAGAGGCTGTGTTAAAGCATTAAAGGATATATTCCTAACAGGGGAAAGGGATTAGAACACAGCCTTGGGAAGTTGCATTACCAGCACATTCTGCAGTTATTTTTAAGAACTTCATCTAAGTGGGGAATGAACTGGGTCAGTTCAAAGCTATCTGGAGAATTGTCCTTTAATTATGTTTTCGTTTTTCCAGCACTTAGTATTTTTACCTGAGTAACTAACAAAGTGTATAAACTTACCATATCCGCAATGGAAGTCATAAATTTTTCCCACCGATGCTGAATTTCCCACATCAGTAAATGATACGACCACACTATTCATTAATTAGGCCAGAAAGCCTCAAGTTGATCGCGATCTTGCGTCCATCACTGAAAGTTCACTTGAGCTATTACTTCCAGTTGGGGCTATTGCAGTACTAGCTTATTAGTTGCTCTGCTTTTACTCTAGCCACTCTATAGTTTGTTCTTTACAGAAACTAAAATATAAGTTGTCTAATATCAAACATTTCAAAGTCATATCTGATTCAGTTAGATGTTTATCATAGCCTCCTGTATGCTTCACACTATGACATCTGGTTCCTTTTATATTCTCTCTACTCCAACCACAGTTACTCAAAGTCCTGTCTCCAGTACGGTACTGACTATTGACATGTCCAGCCTTCATGTAGACTTCTGCTCAAATGTCATGCCATACAGGTTTTTGTTCCTAAAATAGTGGCTTCTACTACTTCATGTCTCCTGACCTTCCCTTATTTTACCATATTTTCTGCCTTAGAATATAGACTCCTTAAACATAGGGTTTAATCTGTGTCTTTTAAAGTCGTGGAACAGTATCCAGTATATAGTAAGTACCTAGTAAATATTAGATGAATCACAAATAATCAAGTGGCCCAAAATATCTAGCCATGTTTATGTAAATAAGATTTTTTTTCCTAAGTTGGTATCTTGTCTACTGTGAGATATCTAATTAATATTCCTTAAAAGGTGTTAAGTGTTAGCAGTACTTATTCTGCAGTGCTTGAATCTTATGCCTCTGTGTAAAATATTTTTGTATATATTTTCTTAATCCTAAAATTTTGAAGCTTGGTGTGGGGTGGCTATTGTTTTACTTTTATAGATTTCAGAACTGACTTTTAGCTTTCTTAAGTGATTTATTTAATATGTAGTAACTTTATCCCGTTTTCTCTTGGATTTATTGTCCCATATGGAAAGAAAATATTATATAGGTGTCACATACCCAAAACAGTGAGTTACAGAGTAAGAATTTGAAGTGATGACAGTTAAAATACGTTTTTTATTATGCCCCCTCAAAATGCTATGAACTTTAATAACCAAGTAAATTGAATTTTTTTAAAAAATATTTTTCATTTTAACATTTTCCCCAAAGGACTCTAAAACATTAGCAGCAAAGGAAAAAGAAGTTAAAAAGATAACAGATGGGCTGCACAGCTTTCAAGAAGCAAGTCATAAAGATGCTGAAGCCTTGGCCGCTGCACAGCAGCACTTCAATGCTGTTTCTGCTGGCTTGTCCAGTAATGAAGATGGAGCGGAAGCCACTCTGGCCGGTCAGATGATAACCTGTAAAAACGACATAAGTAAAGCTCAGACCGAGGCCAAACAGGTACATGCAGACACTGAGCATGGGTGGGGACGGCTGCAGTGTGTGAGAAGCTGCTTTTCACAAGTATGCTTTGGGTTGCTACAAAATCTTGAAAATAATTAGTTGAATGTGAAGGTTTTTTTTTTTTAAATGTACATGTCTAATCTCCATCTCACTTTGTTCATTGTTAAATATTGGTAACCTTTGGTTGTCAAGAGCTGTAATTCGATAAATGCTTTGCTGTTTGTAGCAGTGCTTGGAATTATGCATGAATGCTTTTTTATTAAGTGAAGGGGCCACCTTGAAAAGATTTACTTGGAAACATTTGTTTTATTAATTAATTAATTCTAATCAGTTTAAAACATTTGTATTTGCAGATATTTGTATTTTTTACTCAGAAATGACAGGCATGAAGTTTGTAAGAACTCAATACTATAAGTTTTAAATTTTTTTTTTTATAAACTTCCTCTGAAGAAATTAGTAAAAATGAATCTGTCACCATTCAATATCAGACTTTTGGCGTTACATTTCTGTTAGTGTACCTTCCCTTTTCCGGATTGTCTTGTTCAGCTTCTTTGCTGTTGACAGACAGGATTCACAAAGATATGCAAATAAGGTTAGAAACACATGAGTTGAAAAGGAAGAGATCCAAATAGTGGTATGCAACCGTCGGGTGTATTTTTAAGTAGCTACTGAGAGTTACTCTCATCAAATTTCTCAACTTTGTTAATAATGTCATACTTTATGAATAGTAAAAGCACTTTTGTACTAAATTACTCATAGTAATGTTTTTAAGACAAGAATACAGAGAAATGACTCCCTTTTTGAGTATTAATCCAGGAAACTACCCAGTTCTATTTTCAGTTCTGATGTCGCCATGTTAAATTAATTTGAATGTCTAACTGTTTAGTTGCTAAGGCTGTCTGCCTTCATAGTCTGTTACACCCTTCTGTCACAGGCGCAGATGAAGTTGAAACATGCCCAACAAGAACTAAAGAGTAAGCAAGCAGAAGTTAGGAAGATGGATAGTGGCTACAAGAAGGATCAAGAAGCTTTTGAAGCTGTAAAGAAAGCTAAGGAAAAACTTGAAACTGAAATGAAGAAACTAAATTATGAAGGTTTGTCTTAAGTGATTTAAGGTCAAATCATTAGGAGGTTTTTATGCATAGAAACAAACAAAGGAAATAAGGTTTTTTTAACCTACTCACAGACATTAGAGAAGTGTTTATAAATACAATGAAATTATCTAAAATAATCCAGTTAATTTTTGATATTTCTTGCTTGATCCCATGAAAGTTTAAAACTGGCATTTATCTGTTTTCACTCCAGTAGGCATTCAGTTATATGTTGTTTCTTGGATTGAAAATTGTATGATTTTGAAGTTGGAAACATGTCCATTTGATGCTTGATAGGAATTTAGTAGTACACCTGCCTTTTCCTTAGTATTAGCTAGAGATTTACATTTTGCTCCTTGAGTACTTCAGAAGGAGAGGCTGAAGCCCTACTTGCCTTAAGTGGTAATGTTTTTAAGACTTGCTTTCAAGCTCCTTGTGATTACCCCTCAGAAAACAAAGAGGAAAGGCTTCTGGAAAAGCACAGGCAGCTCTCTCGAGACATCAGTAATCTGAAAGGAACTTACGAAGCTCTCTTGGCCAGATTTCCCAACCTTCGGTTTGCATACAAGTAAGAGATTTAAACCATACATTTTCAAATAGTAAATAACCCACACACAGTTTTACTTACACTGGAAGGCAACGTGGAAATTTTTCACATGATTTTTAAGTTACATTTCTTTATTTCGTATTTTTTCCTTAAATATTAATTGATGTACATCAAATGTTGGGTGTGGGGGATTCTTGTGAAAATAATAGCAACTGATATTACTCATCTTAAGGCAGATGGGGTGATTTAGTCTCCCTCTGCTCAGACTGCCTTCACAGGTGTCTCGAATCACTGTTGCATCTTCCAGTTTGTTTCACTACATGGGATCTTTGTTCAGTTTTCATCTTTTTCCAATGCAGTACTGAACATTGAATCCTGGGTGTCAGGCATGGGAGGGAGCCAACCCCTGAGCTCCAGCTCCAGCCTTGTTATGGCAGTCCTAATCATAATTGTAGTAGAGAGATTAGAACACCAAAGTTGTTTTCATTACATTGAAAATGGGCTGAAAGGGACTGGAAAGATGGCTTAGTGTTTAAGGGAACACACTGCTTTTTCAGAGGTCCCAGGTTCTGTTTTCATCACCCACATTGGTGAGGGGGGCTTACCTCCAACTCTTAGGCATGCAGCACCCTCTTCTGGCCTCCATAAAAAATTGCACTCACATGCATTTACCCCCACATAGACACATGCGTGCACATAATTATAATTTAAACAATAAACGTGTTTTAACTTACTGAAATATTTTACTTTTCAAAAAGTAGCTGACATTTTTAAATTTTGGCTTTTGTAAAACTACTAATTTGTTTGTTTAGAGGTCTTAACTAAGGTACTACAATATTTACCTGAAATTAATTTTTGGTAATTTCTCTGTTTTTAGGGATCCAGAGAAGAACTGGAATAGGAATTGTGTGAAAGGACTTGTAGCTTCCCTGATAAGTGTAAAAGATAATTCTGCCGCCACAGCTTTGGAATTGGTAGCTGGAGAACGACTCTACAATGTTGTAGTAGACACAGAGGTAAATTAATTTGAATTAAAGAAAATTTAAAAATTAATATTTAGCCTGAAAATTCATATACTACTAGAAAAATTTAGTGCTTTTTAAGTTTTTTTTAACTCCAAGCCGCTTAATCATATAATGGAATTAATCAGTTAATGATTTTTTGATGACGTTAATTCCAATTTATTTTTCATTTTCTGTTTTGCTTTGCAAATTTATATTTAAATTTGTAAAGGAATCTGAATGCCAATTTTCCTACTACTGTCACATTGGATTTATCTATATTTATTAGTTCCCACTATTCCTGTTCTTGTAAATTAACCAGAGTCCATCATCTTATATTTGATTTTTTAGCTTTAATTTGTGTGTGTTATGTGTCTGCACAAGCATCACATATGTGTGGGTACCTGCAGAGGCCAGAAGAAGGCATCCTATACATTTTATCTCTAGATTCATTCAACTTTTCAAATTACAAATATGTATCTCCCTGCGTCTATGCGTCTGCCCTCCTCCATGCTACTTCTCACCTTCTGGTCTACTCTGTCACAGTTTTTCCTTCTAGGATTCTGTGTGCACACGGCATTGTGCGATATTTTTCCTGACTTACATTACTTAGCAAAAACACCTCCCAAGTTCATTCAAAATGTTCACAAAGGTCAGCATCTCCTTTAGTAAGGCTGAATTATAATCTGTTTTATATACTTTAAAAGTCTGCTTCTTTGAGATAAACATACCTTAGATATATTTGATAATGTATTCCTAAACTTCTATACATTTCCATTTTGCTGTTTTTAGTTACCATTAGTAATTTTTCTTCAAATTTCAAATGTATGTTTTTAGGTTACTGGTAAGAAGCTGCTAGAAAAGGGGGAATTGAAGCGTCGATACACAATAATCCCTCTCAATAAAATTTCAGCCAGATGTATTGCTCCTGAAACTCTGAGGGTCGCTCAGAATCTTGTAAGTCTCGTTTTGTCTTAATTAAATGTTTAATCTCTTTTAATATTAGGAAACACTAATTGTAAGGGGCATACTCATGTTGAATTCCAATCAACTGATGAGGTAGCCCTATTATAGTGTATCTGCTAGTAAAAAAATAGATGTGTACAAGGAAATACATTTTAAATTTCCCATGCATTTTTATTTTTAAAAGATTTTCTGTCGGGCAGTGGTAGCACATGCCTTTAATCCCAGCACTTGGCAGGTAGAGGCAGGTGGATCTCTGAGTTCAGGGTCAGCCTAGTCTACAGATCTGGTTCCAGGACAATATTATTTGTTTTACTTATGTATATGTGTGACTGTATGTCATATGCCCGTGCTCTTGGAGGCCAGAAGAGGATGTTGGATCCCCTGGAGCTGGGGTTCCAAGCTTCCTGTTGTGGGTGCTGAGAACTGAACTGTGCTTTGGAAGAACAGCCAGTGTTCTCAACAGCTGTCTCTCAAGACCCCTACATGGGTGTTGAATGCTGATTAAAAACATGAAGCTAATGACATGTATCAACAAAATTAGCTTGTTAGTGAGCAGTTATTATAAGTGTTTGAGTTGAAAAAATTAGGTGAAACCCAGAAATAGAACTTGTAGTTAAGGTACTGAGCAGACAGCCAGTGTATTTAGTATTACTGAGAAAATTTCAAAATGTCCTTGAGGTTAAAAGTGCTTGTTTAGGTTAGTTTGTGTAAGTGATGTTCATACACTTAATTTGCCTGTAGTTCAGCCCTGGTTTAGGAGCTGGAATTTCCCACACCGGCAGAGGTACTTCCTTAGAGTTTGTAGCCAGGCCTGTTTAATGGTGTCTGCTGCCTCAGAAGATAAACCTGAACAACAGCTGTTGCTGTGCTTTGCTGTTGCCATAGCAATGCTTGGTTCTTGTAAAAAGATGGGAAAGTTGGACATTGTGAACAGTTCAGGAAGAGGCCATGGGTTGGGATGGAAGACTGGGGCTTGCCCTGCCTTTTTATTCTTTCAGTGTTTATTTCTGTCATTTCAAAGTGGCTGCTCTCGTACAGTTTGAATAAAAAAGCATTCACTGAAACAGACAGATTACTAATAATTGAAACAAGACACTTTGTGTAAGTGTGCTAATGAAGAGATAGTTGTATTTATATAGCCCACGTAGATGTGCAAACTTGGTATTGCCTTCTTGATAGAAACTGATAGCACTTTGTACTTAAAACTGTTTTAGTTAGTAATAGATCTTTCAGTGTTTGAAGTTATATTTTAAATAAAAAATTAATAGTAGGTATATATGATTTAAATATGTATTGTAGCAGATCTTACTAGTTTATATAATAATACTTCAAAGAAAATAGTATGTCCTGTGGTACATATTTTGTTTTCCTGCAGGTTGGTCCTAACAACGTTCATGTAGCTCTTTCCTTGGTTGAATACAAACCAGAACTTCAGAAAGCAATGGAATTTGTCTTTGGAACAACATTTGTTTGTAACAATATGGATAATGCCAAAAAAGTGGCCTTTGATAAAAGGATAATGACTCGAACTGTAACTCTTGGGGGTGATGTATTTGATCCTCATGGGACATTGAGTGGAGGTATGTTGTGTATGCGCTTGTGTAACAGTTCTGTGGTAAACAGTTTGTGCCTCTGTAGCGATTCCTCTCTGTCTCTATCTCCCAGTTTTTTTTTAAAAAAAGAGTAGTGTCCAGCCCTCCAGTGGCTTATGACACTATCTTGGATTAACTCAGTAGCTTCTTCCTCTACAGCTTGCCCCTGTTTGTGCTTAAGCTGTTCCAGTCACTGAGGTGGTGATGTTAGTATAGTCTTGCTTGTGTATACTTTTTGCTCAGTTGCAGTCACAAAGAAAAGGACTTTTTTTTTAATTTTGTAATTTCTTAGCCTAACTACCCATTTTTTTAGCAAATTTAATAACTCACACAATGATTATGTTCTAATGCTGTGTCCCAAATAATATAACAACAATAAATAGTATTTATTCTGTGTCAGAAATATTGAAGACAATGTTGTCTAGTACAGTGGCCACTAGCCACATTGACTCACATTTTTATCACATTTGATAAAATGAGAGTAATTTTCTTACTTGTACTAGCTGCTTTTCAGGGGCTCAATAATCACAAATAGTAATTGGATTATACATGTATAGTATATTCTATAAAGTCTATTCTATGAGCCTTAAATACATAATTAATCCTTATAACAACCTTAAGATAGGAATATATTATCATCACTAATGTGCAGTTGCAGAAATTTAAAAAAGCACTAGTTAAGTAACTTAGTAATTTGCAAAGTTTGGATTTGGAATCCTAGCAGTTGGGTTGCAACTTGTGTTCTTAACCCATTTTAATATCTTTTTAAATGTTCTTTAGTAAGATTTGTTGTTACTGATATGTCTGATAATGTGAGTGTTTGTGTTTGTGTGTCAGGCCAGAAGCGGGCACAAGATCCCCAGGAGCATGTAGTTAGTTGTGAGCTGCCCGACTTGGGTGCTAGGAACTGAACTCTATTCCTCTGGAAGAGCAGGAAACACTGTTAACCACAGAGTCATTTCTCCAGCCAAAGACTTATGTCTTTGTAGGCCAGGTGAATTAATTAAGTGATCAAGTGTCACACTCCTCAATACATTATCACATGAGTACTATCTGCATGGAAGAGAAACTAAATATTTTTAAATATCTCAAGCAGAAGAAATTCTTGAGATTTAATTGATTCAGATGTACTTGGAGTTTCTGTTTAAGAAGTGGCATATAAAATGATACTGTATTTATTAGCTCTAATGGCATTGTTAATTAACCTTCGCATCCTTTCATCAAACCTACAGAGCTTCCTTGTTAGTGTAGTATCTCAAGCTGTCATTGCTGGATAAGTACAAGTATGTGAAGGCAGTTGATTCTGATGGTTTTGCTGCATCTTCAGAGCCTATGACAAGTTATGAGGTGGTATATAATAGCTCTACTAGCTTGAGCTAGTTTATTTCAGTTATATTACAATTACTACAGGTCAGTTGCCTCTGGTCCCTGTTCTCATACTGTAACTCAGTCTGAAGAAATCCTCTTTTCAGTATGCTTTCCTTAGGGCAAATGGTGAATTATATACTGATGTTCAGGGGAGTTTGTTTTCCTTTCATTGGTCAGAACAAATTACATGACTAAGTTCAATGTCTGGAGTGGAAAATTTGCCTTAGCAAGATAGACCCAATAGGTAGGGCAGTGGTTATTTTGAGTCAATAAACTTTGACATCTACCAAGGTTTTGGGAGGTTTTTTTTTGGTCAGTTTCTTCTTTGGTTAATGGAATAGATTCCTTTTCGTCTTTCGTTCCCCGGAAGATTTGATTTCGCATCATTTCTAGGATAACTCCCTTAGAAAAGAATGTTTAGTAAACGTGTGTTAACATAATCTCCAAAACCTCTGTTAATTTGCTTCCATCCAGGTGCTAGATCCCAGGCAGCTTCTATTTTAACCAAGTTTCAAGAACTCAAAGGTGTTCAAGATGAGCTGAGGATCAAGGAGAATGAACTACATGCTCTAGAAGAGGAATTAGCGGGTCTTAAAAACGTTGCTGAAAAGTAAGACTTCTGCTGGACTAAGCTACACATGTTCTGTGGGATAGAAAATTATTAGAAATTGACTTTATTTTTAGTTTTAGAGTAAATTTTGAGTAATTTTTCATCCACTTTTTTTCTGATTTAAAAGAATGTCTTTGTTAGAAGAAGTTAACAGAGTCTAATTAAGCAAATAGGAAAAAAAAACAAAACACCTCTTTTCTTGAAAAATTCCGTGGCATCGGTGTCCCCCCGGGCTTGGTGGGGAATGCTTGGATACTCTGGATTGACTCCAGAGGATACTTGAGATCTTGATTTGAATTTCCTCAGTATAGTAGCCTTGATCAGGTGTCAGCACTAAGTGAGCAGTACTCTGTCTGTCCTTCAATACTGAGATCATTGTGTTGCCTGAGGAGTAGGTAGGTAGACAAGTTCATGTCAGAGAGTAAGAGAAAAATTATTCTATTTTTTATTAGTATACTATGTAGCAGGTTTTTTTATGGCACTTTCATTCATACTTTGTTTTGGTGGTTCTGCCCATCTTTCTCCCCACAAAGTCCTCACCCCCATCTCTGACCCACTCCTTATGTGTACTCTTCTGTCCTGAGTATTCCCCTTCCACATTCATGTCACCTGTAGTCTGTTATTCTTCAGCACACTTTCCTTAAAACCTTGTTTTCCATCCTCTTGGAACCATTCATAGTCCCATGACACACATCCCAAGTCCTCACATAATACACATACATAGAAGTTAGAATCTACATAGGAGACACTGGAGTATTTATCTCTGTGATCCTGAGTCACCTCACTTAATATTTCCAGGTCCATCAATTTGCTTATAAATTTTATAATTTCATTTTTTATGGCTGAATAAAATTCTATTGTATATATACATCACATGGGTGGACGTCGAGGTTGTTTCTATTTCCTTGCTGTTGTAAATAAAACAGCAATAAAACGTGGATGTGCAAATATCTATGGTAGATTCTGAGTATGTGCCCAGGAATGTTCTCTTAGAGTGTTTCTTTTATGTAGGTGTAGGATAGTCATGTATACTTTGGATTTGTTTGTTTGTTTTTTGAGACGGTCTCATGATTTTGTAGGTGAAATTCTAAATGGTCTTACTAAATAAGAAACACAGAGCCAAATGCAGAGTTAAAAGCCCAGAGATCAGAGCAGTAGCCAAGAGCTAAGACCACTTTAGCTTACCACTTGCTGTTGTCCTTCCCCTGAGAGAGAGAGACCTTCTTCCTGTGTCCTATCTTTTTATTGCCTTTCTGTTCTGCCTTCTCATTGGTTCTAAACACAACCACATGACTTCCTCGTCAATGCCTGCCTATACAGACCTCCAGGTCTCTATGGTTCGTACTGAGATTAAAGGTTCTGGTCACCGCTTGGCTGTGTCCTTGAACACACAGAGACTGCCTGCCATGTGATAGAATTAAGGGCGTGTGCCACCAACACCGGACTTCTGCTAAATGGCTAGCTTTTAGCTCTGATCCCCAGGCAACTTTATTTATTAACATACAAATAAAAATCACATTTCAGTACAAATAAAATATCACCATATGATGTAACTAGCTGACCAGAACTCAGAGATCCACTTGGCTTTGCCTTTCACGTGCTGGAGTTAAAGTTGTGCCATCATGCCTGGCATGCATGTCTACTTTTGAACTTCACTTGTTTATAATTCAGTTATCAGATTTTTTTCCAAAATTGAGATCATAAATTTCACCTCTGTTTCTCTTGGCATTATATACTCAAATACATATTGATTGAGTGCTTTGTATGGGCCAGATACTCTTCATATGAAAAGTGACTAAAATATTTCTGCTTTCCTGGTTTTTATATCTCAGAAAAAAACATAAATTGGTAAAAAGTATGTTAAATAGTTCTATAAAGCAAAAGGTAAATCTGGAAAGGAAGTGGGAAATAGGAGGTACTGAAATTTTGGTAGGATGACCATGAACAGCTTTTCTAAATACAACTACTGAGCAAAGCAAACATCTTAATAGTGTGTAAATGGCCCTATAGTCACCTCAAAGTCTGTGCTTGCCATAAAGCTTCAGCACTGAGTGCTGCAAACTTATAAGCATTGTTTAAAATGTAATTGTAATTTTCCCATTCCCTCTGAAAATGATAAACAGGGATTGATAAAAAACACTCTGTTTAGAATTTACGATACTGAATGAAGGTAAAGTAAATCTAAATTTGTGTAAGTCATTAGCATTCAATTTTTGAAGTTTAAAATTGTACCAAGACTTGAGATCCTCTGTATATATGGAAGAGATCTTCAGATTCCATTAGAGTGGCCATTCCAATATGAAAATACCCATTTTTCCTCCACATCTTCATTTACCTTAATTGGTTGTAGAACAACTGAATTGTTTTTCCGTGAAAAAGATGCAACAAAGTTTTTCTGTTCTGTGGAAGCTCTATCGAGGTGCTGATGAGTTTGTAGTGCTTTGGGCTTCGCGGTTCTCATTTCTTTCAGGTGCAGGAGATTATTCTTCAGACTTGGTTAGTGACTAACGATAGCACTGAGGTAAAACAAACTGGTTTTGAAAATTCAGAAATGTGAGAATCAGCAAAAGCCATTCTTGTATATTGTGTCAGAACATGGGTATGGTTTTCTTCAAAATTTCTGTGTTAACATTTTTTTAATGACTTGGAGTAGAAAGTGCTCTTTTATTTACTGTCAAGCAGTTTCAAGTAAGAATACTCAAGAGTGTTTATATTTGGGTTAATCCTTTTCTCCTCAAAGCTCATGAATTTCTAGTGACTAGTGTGTGTTGTGAATTTATATGAACTTGAAATTTCATTGCAACTGAGCTAGCTAAATACTTTGTAAAGAGATAAGGAGCCAGAACATGGGTAGAAGTATAGCATTGATAAAATGCATATTACAGATGCTTAAGGTGAATACACGACTTCTTAAGCTGTCAGTTTCCCTATGAAGAGTGGGTAGCATTATTACTGCTGACATTTGCAAATGGGAACTAATAAGTAGGTGCCAGTTTTGGGGGATTTTTATGTAATTGTCATTAATTTTATTTTTATAGTAATTAGTGATTGTGTATAGGTATTTATAGGTATATTTATACATTTAAATTTAATTTATTCAAAGATTACTTTTAGTGTTTTCTGAAATTAAGGGTATTTTGAGAATAGTTATTTGATCATTTACAGTTTACCTGCAGTGATAGCTTTCCATGCTAACCATTGGTATGTCGTTCTATTTATTTTACGTGAGTTCATTTTATTTGTATTATATATGAGTTTATTTCAGGTAAGAGCCTCAAGTTTGAATGCATGTCTCAAATGCCAAGGAGATTTATAAACTTGTCTTTTTAAGGTATCGGCAACTGAAACAGCAATGGGAGATGAAGACAGAGGAGGGAGATTTGTTGCAAACCAAACTTCAGCAAAGCTCTTATCATAAACAACAAGAAGAATTAGATGCCCTTAAAAAAACCATTGGTGAGATGCCCGCTGTGCCTAATCTCTGTGCTGCTCTCCTCTTCTCTCCCTGGTACTCAGAAGATTTAAAGAGTTCGAGCACATGTGGGCATTTTTCTGCAGGACAAGTTCAAGTGTGGGACTTTTAGGACTTAGGGTGTGATCATCCTTGTCTTTATTATGCAACACCAAAATTTGTCTCCTTTTTACCAATATTCACTTACATCAATATGGGAAAAATCTTCATTTCTTTAAGTTCTTTTCCAGACATTTTAGGATTCTCTAATCTTACAGTTGTGAAAAGGTGGCATAGCATTCAAGCTAGGATTTAATTTGCATTTCGCTCATCATTAAGGTTTGGGATACTTTTTTTATTAGAGCTTTATGTTTCTATTCCTGTAAGCTTTCTATTTGCCCATTTTTCCTGTAAGTTGTTTTCTCCCATTGTTTACATACAAAAGTATTTAATGTTCAGTACAATGCAATTTATAGCTACTTACCTGTTGCCTAGGAGAGTGTTCCTAAAAATGAGGCAAGCTAAACTCTCATACAATAGCTAACTTTATTCAGACAATTTATAGTCTGAGAGTATTCTTGAGGCTTAAGCAAGGTCAGGTGAGCAAAAGTCACAAGTTTGGGCTCTATACAGTCAGGAGGGTAAGGTCACATTAGTTCACACTGTATGCAGTCAGGAGGACAATCCATGCTTGGAAACATCATTCTGAATAGTAATAGGTAAGATGATGGGTAATCTAAAGTAAAACTCACTCCTATTATTACACCTGGAAGGGGCACAAAAGCACATTCTAAGAAGAACCCATGTTATGGAGGAACAGGGATTACTAAACTCTTATCTTGTTTACTTGGAGCTTTCTCATAAGGTCTCAGAAATCTCACACAGCTAATTCTTGAACATGTTTCGATGCTTTCCTGAAGTGTTCTACATTTATTTTCCCTCTTCATTATAATTTGATTGTATATAGCAGTTTGTTTTGTTTTTGTCATTTATTGTGACAAAAATCTGCATGTGCATTTTTCTACTAATATTTTATTCTGTACTAAAAAGTAATGGAAAATTGTCCAGTGTTAGCTTCTGGAATTACATTTGCATAACGGGTCCTAGCCCTGACTGAGGTCACACATGATAGGAGACTATCCATTTTTCCTTGTTTGCTTATGTTTAATAAGCAAACTAAACATGTTCAATCTAAACATGTTCTCATCGTCCTTCTCATCATAGAAGGCTGCTTGGTGGCCATAAGTAGATAGAATCACTGTAAGCTCGTGCTAACTATAAAATCATGGAAAATAGTATGGCACCAGTGTTGATTTGAGCTGTAAGATAGGAGGCATAATTCAGTAGTATACCATGTGCTTTATATATGCAAGGTTGAGTTTCATTCTTAGCATTTTAAAAACAAAAGCACTCTCTCACACACAAATAAAACTGTGATCTTTCAGTAGAAGTAATTTCACAGATTTCAAATACAGCTTTTAGTGGGATTCATGTTTCATTATTACATTTCCAAAACAGCCACAATGCTTGTATTAATTTGATTTATAAGCTTTTATCTGTGTTATTAAATTAGCCATGTTTAACTACCTTGTGATTCAGAGGAAAGTGAGGAGACATTAAAAAACACCAAAGAAATCCAAAAGAAAGCTGAAGAAAAGTATGAAGCATTGGAGAATAAAATGAAAAATGCAGAAGCTGAAAGAGAGAAAGAACTGAAGGATGCTCAGAAAAAACTGGATTGTGCCAAAACAAAGGCAGATGCATCTAACAGGAAAATGAAAGAAAAACAACAGGTAAGAACCTCCCTTCAAATGGTGGCAGTCTTTTTAAATTGGCATAGAACGGAAGGTGGGGAAATGTCATTGGCTGGCCTTACTCATTAGTGCTGATTCCAAATAAGCACCTTCTTAAATTGTAAATTATGCATCTTACAAGCCAAACACTGTTCTCTGTAAACCCTGCAATTGAGAGTCTCACAAATCGGGAGCAAATCATGATGTGGCATGTGTCTTACCAGGTTATGTTCCTGTTTATCACTACGTTTGTTGATGTGCACTGTCAGAAACTGAAGAAAAAAACATGCTATATTTACAAAGTGTCTTAGGTTTGTAGACTTACCTTTAATATCTTTTGTAGAGTGCCAGAGCTTTTTGAATAGTGCCATGAACTTTTTTGCGTCTACACTCTAAATTTTGCCTTTTTACCCAGCTTAAAATTCTTTCATTAAATAGTTTCACAATAATTTTTTAGTGAACTAAAAGTCTATATTGGAAAACAAAATCAAGAAACCTAAGTTTTTGCATGCTGAAATACTTTTGTCAATAAAGCTAACTAGTGCATAGGTTATGTAGAATTTTATTACTTTGCTTTAGTATAATTAAAGGTAAAGGAAATAATTTATGCAGTTTCCTAACCTTATAAAACTTAAACATTTTTAAAGGGAAATAAGCTTCTGTTTTCTTTTTCTTCTTAGGAAACAACTTGGTTTGTTGGTAGTTTAATACTAAATGAGAATATTGTTAATGTTTATCTCTGAAGCTAAATTCTTGGCTAGCAGTTAACCTTCACTGCCATGTTTCTGTAGGAAGTTGAAGCAATCACTCTGGAGCTAGAAGAGCTCAAAAGAGAACATGCATCTAATAAACAGCAGCTTGATGCTGTGAATGAAGCCATCAAAGCCTACGAAGGTCAGATTGAAATGATGGCAGCTGAGGTAGCTAAAAATAAGGTAAGGATTATTTATCAAATTAGAGAAATTAAAAACGACTCAGAGAAAGGTTCTGGGTTTGGGTTCAAGGAGCACACTGAAGCAGATTGCGTTTGGGATTAGAGATTTATTAACACCACAGAGACTGCATGCTGGAGGATCTTAGAGGCCAGGCCCCCAAGGATAGAGGTAGAAGGCTCCCAGGAGAGCTAGGTCCCAGATGTCAGAGAAAGGGAGAGTTCCCTTGCTAAGTGGATGCTGAGTAATTTACAGGAATAGCTTTCAGTCAGGTGAACTGTTGTTTTCAGGCTGGCTAGACTTGGGTGTCTGGGGGAGTGGGGCTTGCAATGTGAGGAAGAAAGGAAGGCATCTTGTTAATGTGGGACTTACAGGATGTGGGGAATAGAGAGAGAAAGAGCATACCTAGTTAAGGTATACCCATTATCAGAGTGAAAGATGGGTCAAGGTCATTCTCTGTCTCTTAGAATCTCATAACCTGAGCCTGTAAATTTCTTAAGAAAGTGAGAATTATGCTATTTTCCTGGAATTGGTCACTTGGAGTGTCTGTTATTGATAGGCTCTTGTGTGGGTGTGTGGGGGGGCAGTGCCATTTTTTTGCATAGCAGCTTTGAGAGGGGCGCTGCTGTAGGTGGACAGGGCCTAATTGGTTCCTAGCCTGAAACTTAACACTCATCTACTTAGGAAATGTTGAACTAAGATAACAGACAAGTACTTTAGGTCTTTTCACTTAATGATCAGAGTGTGAGGTGAAATGGGGATTCCAGAAAATTATGAAATGACATCAGGGGTTCAGCCTTGTAAGTAAATTTGTTGCAACTCTGTGGGTTTGGTCCTAGATTTCGGTACCAAAACGTGAGTTTTGCAACTCTGGGGAGAGGTGTCCTGGCTGCCTGGGAGTTAGGCAACACCTTGAGCTGCTTAGGACAGCTCTGATGGCTGGAGCTGCAAAGAGGCAGCCCAACCCTGGAGGGGAAGTTTTTCTGACTTTTTTCAGGAAATTCAGGCCTAGAACTGCTTCAGCAGGGAAAGGTATCCTGACTGTTCAGAAAAGTCAGGGTATCCTGACTGAAAGTCGGGCTCTACCTGATGTGATGAGGGATGGTCTCCCTGCAGATGTAGCAATCTTGCTTCTCTCCTGGATAGCCACTTTAGCTGAGCTTTGCTCAGCCCCCCCTTAAGGAAGCTTCCTAGCAGAGCTCTGCTTCTCTGGCCTAAGAAATTGCAAAAATGTAGCAAATCTTCTCCATAACTCTGTCCACTGAGGGACATCTCAGCAAGGATCTTCTGTTCAGTTCCTCCTTGCTCTGTCTATTGAGGGATGTCTTCAGCAAGCTTCTTCTGCAGTAGTGAATGAAGGTCTTCACACGCAAAACTCTTTTGAGAAAGAGATTTATTTGGGAAGGAGGAGTCCAAGAAAGTAGCTGCCTCTACCAGGGTGGAGAGAACAGCTCACAACTGACCAGGCAGGGCGGTTTATATAGGATGTCCTGTTGGGGGGAGTCAATCTGTGATTGGTTAGGTTTTTTTTTTTTTTTTTTTTTTTTTTTTTTTTTTTTTTTTTTTTCTGCCCAGGGATTGGCTAGTTTTGTGGGCTAGAGACAGAGATGGCCCTGATTTCAGGGCCAAACTGTGTTTCTTTCACTGGCCTTTCTTGGCTTTTTGACACTACCTCTAAGGCCAGGGCACATTTCTTTCACTGACTCTGATTCTAGGGACCAAGAGTGTTATTTTGCCACTAGTTTCAGAGTCAGGGCATGTATCCTTGGTTCTGGGTTTGGGGATAAAGTGTTCATTTCTCTGGCTCAGGTCCCAAACCCAGGCTGTGTTTCTTTCCCTGGTCCTGGGCTCCAGGGCCAGGATTCTACTGTCCTGCTCTGTGATTGGTTCGTTTCACAAGTCAGTTGGCCAGGGGCATAGATGGCTCTGATTTGAGCCAAACTGTTTCTTTCACTGGCCTTATCTGAGCCATCTTTCCCTAGTTCTGGGCTCCAGGGTCAGGGTGGGTTTCTTTAACCAGCCCCTTTTCCCTACAAGACTGAATCTACTGAAACAAATCCATTCAGGAAAATGAACCGAGTTTAAAGAAAAAAAAAAAATAACTGTTTGCACGAAAGGGTTGATCACAGGGTTTGAGAGAAATCTAAGGCATAGAACAACAGAAAGAAATAGGTGTTACCCCCAGGACCGAGGTGATGGCCCTCAGAAATAGCAAATCTGCCTTGCAGCCCTGCTCCTCTCACAGGGCTGAACACCAGGTAGGTCTCACTGCAGAGGTGTGACTGACTTGGTAAAGATTTAAGTTATCCACAAAAAGATTACATATGTGTGGTGCCTGCTGGGAAATAAATGTCTATGAACACTGGTCATTGGATGGCATTCACCTGGAACTAAATAAAACCCTGTGCTCAGATGCCAAGTAGAGCCATGCATGGTACTGTCCCCTATACATAGTAAGTTCTACCTTTGAGACAAACACACCGGCCAACAACCACAGCCCCTTCTGCCTACACATATTTATAGTGATGCAGCATTGTAATGCAGCAGTATTGTTGCAACTGGCAAGGAAGACATGACCAGTTCTCAGAAGGACTGTGAAAGTTAAGATTCAGAGAGTCTTAAGACTATTCCCTACTCATACCTATTTTTAATTTATCCTAAATTCTCTTGTATTTTTACTCCTACTTCTGTAATGCAACCTTAATTTTTCAAGTATTTGAGTTTATCGCTGAGATGTATTCTTATTAGTGGCATGAGTTTCATGTTAATTACATACACATTTTATGAACACATTATTACATACTGCATTGGTGGCAGAATAACAATTTTTAACTACTCCTTTTCTGACTAAGAATGTATAATTTGTCTCAGCTTTACGGTTCGTGTTGATTGGATGTTTTACAGTTTCTGTTCAATTTTTCTTTCTAGCTTCCAAGGTAAATTTCACTTTTTGTTGTTCTGATATCCCTCATTTTGAACATGTATTTTTTTCATCTTAGTTCTTTCCTCTGTCTTCTATTATGCCCTATCATCATCATGTTTTCCTTTTAATAGGAAACTGTAAGATAGATGACTTGGTCTTTAAAGATTATTCAATCAGGCTTTACCTTAAAAATTGTTTCCTTTTGCTGATAGAGCAGATGTGCATGCTCCCTGGGAGCTAAGGAAAGAAATGAACTTCCTGTTGACTAATTGGCTTGAGACAAACAAGATTAAAACTCTATTCCTGCTCAATCTGAAGTGACAGAGCTCATGTGTGTTTTCTACCAGTGCAGAAAAGACTGACAGTCACACCTACCGTGCACTTATATGTTGGCATGAGAGTCTTCATAAGCATGCTCTGTCAGACATACCTAAGGCTAAGAAGACTATAGTATTTCCTTTTTAATGTATCAGAATTTTACTCACTTTCATTCTTTTCTTCTTCGAAGGGTTTTGAGATGTAAAATATCTTTAGATTTTATAATAAGTCTTGAATGTCGTTTCTCCTGCAGAGGACAGTTAGCAAACACAGCTAGGTACTGTAAGAAGATTAGGTCACTCTGAGCACAGTCTGACGTAGAACACTGGCTCAGAATTATGTTGTTTTCCTAATTCTCCCCCCGACCTTACCCCATCTAAATTGTCATTGGTTTGTGATTACTTAATGAGATCATTTCTTAGAGTCTGTCTTAGTTAGGGTTTCTATTGCTGTGAAGAGACACCATGACCGCAGCAATTCTTATAAGGGAAAAACATTTAATTGGGTGGCTTCCATTTTCAGAGGTTTAGTCCATTGTCATCATGGTGTGACAACGTGGTGTGCAGGCAGACATGGTGCTGGAGAAGACAATGTCCTACATTTTAGCAGACTAAAAACCATGCTGAAATTAGTACTTGGGAAGGTAGGTGGCTTCCACCCTAGAGAGCAGGTGGTAGTAAAACTCAGGGTAAGAAAATTTCTTTTCAACAAGTCTTTCAACAGAAGGGTTCTCTTCGTTTCTGATTTGACTGCTGTGTTAAAATCAAGAGCTGTGACATTCTGTTGTCACTGGTCATCTCCATCACCTTACATCTGCAGAAGGGGAAAGTCATAAATCAACCTCCCTTGTCTTGAGCCCTTATCTTTGTCCTTCCTAGATTTATGTTCTTCAGGGATCTGTAAGCTTGTCTTCTTGTTAGCTGCTCAGACTGCACTTTTTATACTAGAGACAACAGGTCAGCTTTAAGTAGTCCCTCCTCCCAGGCATTTCATTCCAGCTACACTACATACAGTAAAAGCCTGGTTTGTTTAGGTGTAAGCTGAGATTTACCTTGTGTTTGGATTCATGACTTATTCTACGTGGGTTTAAACTGTGAAGCTTTAGACAGCCATTTACCTGTAGTCACATTGACATGTTTTCTAGAAGTCTGTCAGACAGACTTGGAGCAAAGTTAAAATACTTACCTATTTACCTTACCTTGTGTTCTTTAATTTTTGTTGTTGTTTTAGGAATCAGTAAATAAAGCTCAAGAAGAGCTGACAAAGCAAAAAGAAATAATAACGGCCCAAGACAATATAATTAAAGAAAAATGTGCGGAAGTGGCAAAGCACAATTTGCAAAACAATGATTCTCAGCTTAAAATTAAGGAATTAGACCACAGCATCAGCAAACATAAGCGGGAAGCTGATGATGCTGCTGCTAAGGTATGGTTACATTGAGTTTTACAACGTGGATGAGGTTTTATTTCTGAGCTCTTAAAAAAATTCTAGTAACTGTTCAATAGGAAACTTGGTACAAATGGCAGAACCATAGCCTAAAGTCTATTTGAGTTTATTGCTGTGTTAACTGTTTCTCACTAAGAATCAAGTTTTCAGTAACCCAAATGATTTGGTTTTAAATTTAATTATAGACATTTATTCCTCATTATGAGATGTATTTCTGTAATATTGATATCCAATAGAATTGGTATTTTTATCCATACTCATTGATAGAACTTAGTAATGATAATATACATTCTTTATCTTATTACAAATTGAATTTGAAGAACTCACGAAAATATGTATATAGATCTCATTTTAAAAGGCATTGGTTTTCGGGTATCCTTATACATTGTCAATGCTATTTATACAACTTTTTTGAAAATATATTGTGCATTGCAGTTATTTTGAAGTTATTCCAGGTTTTAATTGCATTTGAAGTCTTCTTTTGCTATGTCGCAGTACCTTAAGTATTTTAAAGAGTATATGGTTGCTGTTGTAAAAATTCTTGTATCAGACACTATGCTGAAGATGCAGGGAAAAGTACCATGTCCACTCAGTGCCTTCAGGGATCTTACAGATCATCTCAGAAGCCAGACTGTAGCTGAGAGCTTACTTTGTGGTTTTAGAGGTACCACTGCAGTGGAAGTGGTGAGGGTAAATAGATTGGCAATATTACATTCTACTGATCAGAGTAAATCTCAACCAGGTATAGAGGACAGCCATTAAGGATTATAGTTTTAAGTTTGAATTGGTTGTATTATATGAAAAGGTTACATTTTACCTTGTCAGAAGGGGTGGAAGCAGGGATAGTCAACATTTGGGGCATTTTTTTTTTCTTAGATTATAATTCTGAGACAATTATTAGGTAGTCACAATTAGGCTTCTATGATTTCATCAAATATATGACTGTTCCTAAGGAAGTTTCCCTACATACAGATTACTTTTTGCCGTATTAGATTGGATTTAGTAAAATCTGAATGAGCCTCATCTGACTTACATTTTAATGGAGATGTTTTGAGTATACAAATGAAGCATCTTCAATCTGGAAATCCTAAGTGCTCCATAAATCAAAACATTTTGTGTGCCAACATGCCATAAGGAGAAAATGTAACACCTGGCCTCATGTACCAGGTCAGAATGAAAGTAAAGAAGCAGTAAAAATGTCAAGTAAAATTGTCTTCAGATTCTGTGTGAATTTTCTGTTTTGACTTAGATCCTATCTCCAAGATAGCTTACTCTATATGTGTAAATATTCCAAAATTGAAATAACAAAGCAAAACCCAAAGCATTTCTGGACCAAAGTGTTTTGGAACAAAGGACACTCAACTTTGTAAAACTTTCTCTTTCACTCATCGTTATTTATTAAGCTGCACTGTTTACCGTGCAAGAAAAGTCAGGAGGTACCACAAAACCCACTATAAGAGTTTATTAAGGGAAGGGAACAGAAGGGGTGTGCATAGGCCTATGAAGTGACCGTGCAGGAAGAGAGGGGAGGAATAGATGGAACCTGCTTTTATAGGTTCCCTCCTACACATGTGCATATGGGCTTATGTAGCTACGTGATTGCTACATATATAGATTGTGTGACCACACTGTGCGTAGATTGCATGATCACACGGTGCCCGGATTATGGGATTATGTAGAACATAAGGCCCTAGGATGACTAAGCATCTTACCTGGCTACTGGACAGTGCATGTACGGTCATGTAGCTGGTGGGGGTGGCTAGGAATTCTAACACTCATCCCTGCTCCTGCATGGTGGGAAGATCCTTCTCTATGAAGTCTGTGCTTGGGTCTGCGATCCCTGGCCAAGGATCCATCCTTATTGCTGTAAATGAGCTGCCCTAGCCTTTCTTTGTCTATGTCATTGTGATTTCTTTAATTCTTTTTTTTCCTCCCAAATATTTGATTTAAAAGTAGTAAGCGGCCGGGCGGTGGTGGCGCACGCCTTTAATCCCAGCACTCGGGAGGCAGAGGCAGGCGGATCTCTGTGAGTTCGAGGCCAGCCTGGTCTCCAAAGCGAGTTCCAGGAAAGGCACAAAGCTACACAGAGAAACCCTGTCTCAAAAAACCAAAAAAAAAAAAAAAAAACCAAAAAAAAAAAAAAAAAGTAGTAAGCATTTCGGAAACATTTTTGAATATGATTTTAGTTCTTTCCTTTTTCATTTGTGACCAGGTATCCAAAATGTTGAATGATTATGACTGGATTAATGCTGAGAAACACCTCTTTGGCCAACCTAATAGTGCCTATGATTTCAAAACAAACAACCCAAAAGAAGCTGGACAGAGACTTCAGAAGTTACAAGAAGTAAAAGAGAAACTAGGAAGAAGCGTCAATATGAGAGCTATGAATGTACTGACAGAAGCTGAAGAGCGGGTGGGTCTGCTTCCTATCACTGCTCAGCCATAATAGAACAGCGTAGCCATCTGTGATGATCTATGACCTCTAAGCTGTTATTAGATTCAACCCTTTGTCTCACTTAGTAGGTTCTTATATTTAAGCTGCATAGCATGGTAGGACTTGTTTATTTTTATTAGATCATGATAACTGAGCTCTAATACCATTTTCTAAAACGAATGTTGAAAGAGGAATAGTGAAGGAATTAGAAGGTTGTCCTGGTTAGGGTTGCTCTTGCTGTGATCAACTCCACCCTAGAAAGCAACTCAGGGAGGACAGGGCTCATGTGCCTTCCGGTCATGGTTGCAGTCCGTCATTGAGGGAAGCCAGTGCAGCGACTCAGTCAGGGCAGGAACCTCGAGGCCGGCGGGAGCTGAAGCAGAGGCCACCAAGGAATGCTGTTTACTGGCTTGCTCAGCCTGCTTTCTTAGAGAACCCAGGACAATGTGCCCAAAAGTGCACTGCTCACAATGGGGTGAGCTCTCTTGCCTTAATCATTAATCAGGAAATTGCTCCACAGACTTCCCTTTAGGCCTGTGTGATAGACATTTTCTAATTGAAGTTCCCTCTTCCCAGATGACTCTAGCTTAGGCAAGCTGACACAAATCAAAAACCCTAAGAGGCACTAAGGTTCTCTATTGATGAAGAGCTGACCCCTTCCCCTCATGTTTTGTGTCTGTTTATCTAAGAACTGAACTTACGGAATTAATAAGATAGAAATGTGGAGGTCACAGGACTGGCTCAAGTTAATATGGGAGGTATGAAGACTCCTTGAGCTGTAGAACTGTAAGGAGGAATGGGTTAGGAAGGGTAGTAGAAAGTTCTGTACTGTCAGTCATGCATGCAGCTTTCCCACTGCAGCCCTCTCAGCAGAAAGCTAGTGTGAAGCAGTAGATGAGAGCTGAAACTGAGGGACTACTTACTCAGATACGGAGAGTGCTTTCCAGGAAGACAGAGCAGTGCAGGGAACATAGACCACGAATGGGTTTATTATGTCCAAGGGACTGAATGAAACCCAAATTACAGAATCCAAGGAAGACCCAGATTCTTTAGTCAGAAAGATAAAGGCCAATTACTGTATTACACAGGACATACACAGCACAGTGAAGAATTAAAAGCTTATTCATGGTACTACTGAAACTGACCCACTTGTACTATAGTTTTCATGTAACATTTTCCAGTTTGCCTCGGTTACTAGAAGAAAAGGGCTATTAGTATAGTCTAAATACTTTTAGGACTTCTAAATTTTTGGTTCTGGTAGTTGAATTTTTCTATATATTGGTAATATATTTATTTTTCTCATAATTTGGTTTTTATTATAGTTCTGGTACATTGTATCTTTCTAGTAAATAGGATTGTGTTATGTTTAAAAACAATGAAGCTCCTTTTTGGCTGACTAAATGCCAGAATGTGGAAGACATTTTGTGTTTTACAAATAAAGTATCCCATTTTCCTTACAGTATAATGATTTGATGAAGAAGAAAAGAATTGTAGAAAATGACAAATCCAAAATCCTTGCAACTATAGAAGATCTTGATCAGAAGAAAAACCAAGCCCTAAATATTGCTTGGCAAAAGGTACTTTAATCTCAAAATGTAACCCCAAATCAAGGATGAAGGATCACATCAGTAGGTTTACACAGTAAGAGCAGTTCACACCTGAGCCTAGACTTTTTAAATGTGTTTTTGTCGTGACTTTACTACAAGACTTAGAGAAGCAAGTTGATGTCACATCATCATTTATCATGACTGTTACTTTTAAAAGAAACACTGTATATTCTCCTTCCTCATCTATATTCTTCCTCCAGTGTCTGCTACACCCTGCACAACTGCTTAACCCTGAAAGCAGCACATCTCACTTAGACAGCTAGCTAGAAATAAGGACCTTCCAAGGACTCAGTTTCACCATCGTTTATTTCTCTTGCTATTTCCAAAACATTTCTATACCCCAAATCTATATAGCTCAATAAACTCCTGTGCCAAAATACAGATTTAGGGTATGGTTAGTTGCTATAATAATAACAATGACTTGCAAGTTCTGTAAATTGAAGTTTAAAAAAATAAACAACCGGGTGGTGGTGGCGCACGCTTTTAATCCAAGCACTTGGGAGGCAGAGCCAGGCGGATCTCTGTGAGTTCAAGGCCAGCCTGGTTTACAGAGCGAGATCCAGGACAGGCTCCAAAACTACACAGAGAAATCCAGTCTTGAAAAATTAAAAAAAAAAAAAAAACAGTAGAAAGACTTTAAGAAATACTTTTTAATTGCCATGTAGTAACTACATGTTTAAAGGGTATGCTGTGACATTTCAGTATATGCGATTTGTAATAATGAGGCATAGGCACTCAACATGCTCACTTCAAACATTTAATACTTCCTTGTACTAAGATAATCCAAATCCGGTTTTTGTTTGTGTTTTTTAGCTAGTTTGAATTTTCCATTAATTGCAGTTAACAGTAGTTATCATCCTGTGATATAAAACAGGGGAATTGATTCCTCTTATCCAAAGGCATACCTACACCTGTTAACAACTATCTTCTCTTCATTCTCCTTACCCAGGGGTACCCTTCCTGGGCTCATAATGCCTCTTTCCTTCTAATGCTTTACCTTTCATATAGGTGTTAACTTTTCTCGTGCTGTGACAAAGAAAGGGGTATTTTGGCTCACATTTTGGGAATATACTTCATCACAGCAGGAACATCCTGAGGCAGGAGTAGCAGGCCACTGATCACATTGTACCCACAGTCTGCTCACTCTTTAACTCAGTCTGGCACTCTACCCCCTGAGATGGTGAACACCCACATTTAGGATAGGCCTTCTTGTTTCAGTTAAACCTCTTTGAAACACTCTTACAGATAGAACCAGGGAATTGTCTCCAGGGTGATTGTAAATCTTGTCAGGTGTCAGTCAAGATTAAGTGTTCCGTATACTTATCAGCTATATCCCATTTCATTGTGTACTTCTTTATCAGTAGACTCTGAGTTGGTTTCATCTGTGACTCCCTGCATCTTTGCTGGCAGAAACTTGTCTTTTTCACATTGATCATTTTAACTTGAGTGAGATGGTAGGTCACTGTGGTTTTGATTTGCATTAGTGATGTTGAACATTTTTCCTTTCCTTGTTGGTCTTTTGTATAGCTGTTTTGAAGAAATTTCTATTCAAGTCATTTACCCATTTTTAAATCATGTTTTGTTCTTAAGTTTGTTACATGTATATTCAGCATAGTACTGCTTTGTTAAGTTTACAGTTGTTTCTCTCCATTCTTCAGATTCTTTCTTAACTCATCATTCTTAAGTTTTAGTTTTTAAGATTATTTTCCAAATATCTGTCTCTTTAGTTTTCTATTTAAAGTCTATTATATCTGATTTAAGTATGGCTGTTGCTGCTCACTTTGGATTTCTGCTTGCATGTCATATCTTTTCATTTCAATCTTCATATATATATATTTTACAGGTAAACTGAGTTTCCTCTAGGCATTAGATCATTGTATCTAGCTTTTGTCTTTACCCATCAGCCAGTCTGTATCTTAAAGAAATTTAACCCCTTTGCCTTCAGAGATATTAATAGTAAAGATGTACTGCTTCATTCCATTGTTTCATATCTTCTTCATTTCTTTATTCTTCTCTGTTCATCTTTGTTGTTTGGTGATTTTCTGTGTTAGTAGAATTTTATTATTATTTGTATTTGTTGTGTTGTGTTGTAAACTTTCCTGTTTGTTTTGTCTGATTATATTCAGCATCCCTTTACTTACAGTGTAGAACTCTAAAGCAGGACCAGTTGGGTGGTAATAAATTCCCTTAGTTCATTTTACCTCAGAAAGTCTTTTTTTTTTTTCCTGATGGGAGCTTTTCAGTCTAGCTTTGTCTTGATTGACAGTTTTCATGAGTTTGAATACCACTCTGTATTTAGCAAAATTGAAATAATTTCTTGTATTTTATCTGAATATACAATAAAATAAAAGTATTGAAGTAGCCAGAGAAACTACAGAACATACAAAAATTTGTAGACTAAGGACCCAGCTACTGAATCATGAATGGGTCATTGGAAAACTTAAACTTTTTTTTCTTTTTGGTTTTTCAAGTCAGGGTTTCTTTGTGTAGTCCTGGCTGTCCTGGAACTTTCTCTGTAGACTAGGCTGGCCTTGAACTAGGAGAGATCTGCCTGCCTCTGCCTACCTAGTGCTAGGATTAAAAGCATGTGCCACCACTGTCCAACTAAAGAATCTTTAAACTTAGGATTAAATGAGATACAATATACAAAAATATAAGGGGCATAATAAAAAACAGTGCTGTGATGGAAATTTTGACCTAAAAAAAACCCCTACATTTGAAAAAGTCAGAGAGATACAATGTAAATAATATATATTACTGATGCCACTTGGTTTTTTAGAAAAACAAGAGAAAGTCAAAAGGCCAAATCAGTAGATACAATATCAATGTTCAGGTACAAATTAATGAATTAGAAATGAAAAAGAAAATATAACAATCAAGGAAGAACAGAGTCATTACAACAGCTACCAGTGTAACTCTGAAAGTCACTGGGGTCTATTTTAATAAAATATATTCTACTAAATTAGAAAATGTAAAAGAAATGAACTTCTAGACTCATGGCCTGCTGTCTTAGTTACTATTCTATTATTGTGAAGAAACATCATGACCAAAGCAATTTATAAAAGGAAGTATTTAATTGGGGGCTCACAGTTTCAGAGGGTCCATGATCATCATGATAGGAAGCATAGTAGCACATAGGCAGGCTTGGCAGTGGAGAAGTAGCTGAAAGTTTATATCCTGATCTGCAGGCAGGAGGCAGAGACCCTCTGCCTGGTACAGGCTTTTGAAACCTCAAAGCCCACCCCCAGTGACATACCTCCTCTAACAAGACCACACTTCGTAATTCCTCCCAAATAGTTACAACTGGGGACCAATGTATGAGCCTGTGGGAGCTGTTCTCATTCAAACCACCACACCTACCAAAATTAAACCAACGTGAGATAAACAACCAGACATACAACAAGCAATAGAATCGAAGAAGTAATGATCATTTTGCTCTTTCCTAATTCCCAAGGTTCACCAGTGCAACTTGAGTATTCAGCATCCAAGCCATCATTCTTCTTTTTCCCAGTATTCAATGATAACCTACTTGGTAGAATCTATTAATATGGCATATATAGCTTTTTGCCTGAGATAATGTAATGTAAGTTCCTTAGTTCATATTCAAGAATACTTCTGTTCTTAAGCTGCATCTTTAAGGTACTTATATAATATCTAAACAATTATATAATTTGTAGAACAGTTCCATGCCTGGAGGGAATCACTGCTGAATCCCACCAAACCTTTAAAGAACTGATCCCAGTGCTTCAGAAATGATTCTGTAAAATCAAATGGATGGAGTGCTGCCAACCTGTCTTTATCAAGTCACTATTGGTCATATCAAATCCTGTGAAACACACACACACACACACACACTAAGAAAACAAAAAGAAAATTATAGGTCAATCTCCTTGTGTGCAGAAACTTGATTCAAATATTCTTATAATACATATAGAGTTAATAATGGGTCCTAGAAGACGCCCCCAATAGTTCCCAAATTTAGTACAAATGAGAATATTTTGTAAATTGGTTTTTCTCTTTCCTAATTCCCAAGGTTCTTGCAATGCAACTGATGTTTATTGATTATTCAGTATGGGAGTCATCTTTCCTCATTTTCTCAATTTTCAACAGTAGCCTAATGTAGTAGAAGCTATTAATATTGGCATATATATTTCTTTTGGCTGAGGTAGCATGTTACCTAGTTATGTCCATATCCAGGAATACTGCTTGCCTCTAAGAGATTTCCTAATTATATTTACTTGTTTATTTTGGGTGCCTACTACTGAATCTGAAGATTTCCTTAGAGACCATGACTATCAAATCCTAGAGGACATGGATTTGACAAGGAGCAATGCTGGTTTCTCTATGGTATACTCACATTTATCTTCTGAATGCTGAAGTTATTTGTCATATTTATAAGACAGATGGCTAAATGCTGATCAGGTGTACATGTATATGCACTGAACCATTCTGTATGCCATGAATTTGGGCCTAATCTCTGTGTAATCACCTGCTGTGGCAATTCAGACAGGCCAAACAGTTTCCCGAGACCCTTTCTTTCTGACAGTGGACATACTGAGTTGCATGTATGGATATTAATAATTGGAAAGCATTCTGATGATTTAATGTGATTTTTTTTTTAATCTTATTTGATCTAGGTAAACAAAGACTTTGGCTCTATTTTTTCTACCCTTTTGCCTGGTGCCAATGCTATGCTTGCACCACCAGAAGGGCAGACAGTTTTAGATGGTCTGGAGTTCAAGGTTGCCTTAGGAAATACATGGAAAGAAAATCTAACTGAGCTTAGTGGTGGTCAGAGGTAAGTAATCTCTTTGCAATTTATAATTTCTTATAGCTATTTAGTATAATTCATCATTTCATTACTCTGTAATTCTCTTTCAATTTTGATTTGTTTGGCTGCCTTTGTAGAATTTGAGAAGCCTAATATATAGAACAATTTGTTTGAAATATTTGTTTAAATTAGTAGACAATAACAACTAGAGCTAGGGATATAGCTCCATGTTGGGTATAACTCAGTGTTGGTGTGCCTGCCTAGCATATACAGGGCCCTGAGTTTGATTCCCTAATACTGTAAAAAAAGAATAAACAACCAGATAACTAAACAAAATATAGGAGAAACAACTCATTAAACATTTAAAAATGAGCAAGTCATGTAGGACTCTGAATACCCAGAAGGAAAAATGGAAATGTTAATCCTGTGTTTACCCAGCATACTCCTTAGTGACAATTACTGGTCATCAAAAGCAGGGAGGGAAGCCGACTAGAGTTTATTTAATAGTCTCAATACATTTAGGACAATTGGACTTTTGTTCGAGGAAGCCACAGAGAACTAAGTGTTAGGTCTGCATGTTCCTGAAGTGAACACTGCTTTAGACAAACCCTAGAAAACTGAACAGTGGACCCTGACCTCAATTTTATCACACACATACACACACAATAGTGCTCTTTTAAAGAAGGTAGCAAAGCATACACTAAACATGGTGTCCAACCTTTAATAAGAATTCCAAGACACCAGTGTGATGCCTCACTCCTGTAATCCCAAAACGCCAAAAGCAAAGGAAAAAGACTACATAATTTTATTTTATTTTATTATTATTATTAGTAGTAGTAGTAGTGTTTTGATTTTTTTCAAGACAGAGTTTCTCTGTAGCTTTGGAGCCTGTCTTTGCTCTGTAGACCAGGCTAGCCTCATAGAGATTCTCCTGTCTCTGCCTCCCAAGTGCTGGGATTAAAGGCGTGCACCACCACCGCCTGGCTCAGATTACACAAATTTGAGACCATCTTGATATACAACAGTGAGCTAGCTCAACCTAGGCTACACAGCAAAGTCCTCTATTTGAAATAATAATAATATCAGTAAATTTGCAAGAGAAAATTCAATTTGCTGAACTAGAGAAGAATAATTCTTTAAAAGAAACAGTCCTAGAAATGGTGAGATTAATAGATATGAAATTTAAGTAACTGTTTTCAAGAATTACACAGGAAAAAATACTAACAAATAATTAGATAAAACCTGTTTTTAAAAAATCAAGTGAAACTGTAGAGATAAAATATAACTGAAATGTAAAGTTCACAAGATTAGTGAATTAGACACCATAAAATGAAGAAGAGTTAACTTGATGTAGCAGTCAAATCTACTGAACCTAAACTGAGGAGGAAAAAAAAACAACTCAAAATCAGTTTGGTGTCCTGTGGAAGCTGCTTGATACACATGACATTAGTGTTTGAAAATTAGAGGAAAACAAGAAACAGAAATACTTAAAAAAATAATGACAACAGATCTTCCAGATATGATGAATTCTGGGAAGACCACCATTTGAGCTAGTAAGATAAGCACATAGACATACTGATACAGCAAGGCATATACAAAATTATTGGAAACGTATATAGTTATAGTTTTATAACTTTGAAAGCCAGCAAAAAACACATAGCATAGATGTAAGGATGATTTGAGACTTTAGACTTCTCATCCTAAACTTCCAGCTGGAAGTATTAGAGCATTTAGAAGTGCCAAAAGAAAATGAGTCAACCTAGAATTATGTATCTAAGAGAAGCATTCATATTGAAGCCAATAAACTTTTTCAGACAAAAGCCAAAAGACTTTGATAATTCAGAAAATTATAAAAAAAAATTGAGACCTGTTGTTTTTTTTTAATGAAGCCCTTTGTCATTTTTGAATAGAGATATAATCTGTCCATACAGTATGCGTGTGTGTGTATATATATATATATGTATATATGTATGTGTATATAGTGAGTATAGTATGTATGTATTTGTGTGGGTACGTGTATAATAAAAATTTTAAAGGAGTAACCAAGTTGTTATTGCTTCCTTAATAAATATATAGCCACTCTCTTACCTGTTGTCTAGGCTTTAAATAAGCAGTTGAGATAAGGATAAATGTCACTTGATAAAAAGGTACAAGATCTAGGGCTGGAAAGATATCTCATAGGTAAGAGCACTGGCTGCTCTTATAGAGAACCTGGGTTTAATTGCCAGCACCCTTGTGGCAACTCATAACCATTTGTGACTCCAGTCGCAGCGGTTATGATACCCTCTTCTGGCCTGTGAAGGCAGTAGGCATGCATGTGGTACACAAACATTCATGCAGACAAAACACCAATACATGTAACAAAATTATTTTCAAAAAGTAACATGTTCTTCAGTGTAAATGCCAAATGTAATGAGAGTATTAAAATTGTCTCATGGAAATTGTATGCTTGTAAAGAGAGCTTTGGAACCCAGATTCCTTATGACTTTCAGATGAGTCTACACTATGTATCATCTTAAGGACATTGCAGATTTGCTTTAGTGTTTTGGTAGAATGTCTGTAAATGTCTATGACTTTACTTTCCCCCAACTGTTCCCAGGTCTCTAGTGGCTCTGTCACTAATATTGTCCATGCTCCTCTTCAAACCTGCTCCAATTTATATCTTGGATGAGGTGGATGCAGCCTTGGATCTTTCTCATACCCAGAATATTGGACAGATGCTGCGCACTCACTTCACACATTCTCAGGTAAGGACCACTCCAAAAAATGTCTCAGTAGAAGTGAAATGGTCTTTGTGTTTATTTTATGAAACCAAGTCTTTTTATTAGTAATCGTTGTTAAGTTAGATATTTGGGATTGGATTGGACTGTAGCTCAATGCTGGAGTCCTTGCCAATTATGCAAATTGTCAAAAAGAAGTCAGTCTCCCTTGAAGGAAAGAACCAGACATTAACACTGTTGATTTAAGCATGATGAAGAACACAACTTAGAGTTGATTTAGTGATGATATAACTGTTTTCTCTAGCTGTTTGCCACAAGGATGCCAATCAGCTAAAGCTGCTTCAAGAATATACTTAAGGTATCGGAAACATGTGGCACATAATGGGGGACTGTGGTTTCTCTCGGCTAAAACAGAAAACCCTTCAAGCTGAAAAGACCTTAAAAAAAATTATTTGTTGCTGTAGAGCTGTAGCTGCCATATACGATTGAATAAAACTACATGTTGTACAGTTCTGGAGTTTCTACTCATTCTACTCATTCTAGAATACGTATTTATTATGGCAGATTTTGGGTACCTGCAGTGAAGTGGTGCCTTTTCCTAAGTATATGAAGGTGGCGTTTGGACTCAGGTAGAACTGTAAGAATTTATAATCTTCTTTGGTATTATTAAATTCATCACATAGAAAATTATTTCACTAAATGATTAGAGCTAATAATAAAATAGGGAATGCTAGCCACTAGATTCAGCTACTGGGAAATGAAACACTGAAGGTAAAGTGAAGAAATGTCTAAGATGAAAGAACATTACTATCTATTTGGGTGCATAGGACCATAACTGTTTTCAGTTAGTATTTGAGGTTGTGCATTTTCTTGGTGGTATGTGTTTAAGGAAAGAACAGAATGACCTCCAGATAATTCTCTTTTTAAATTCAAATATAATTACATCATTTCTCCCTTCCTTTTACTCCCTTCTCCCTTACCATGTAACCCCCCACCTTGCTCTCTCAAATTGATGGCCTCTTTTTTAATTGTTACACACCACAAACTTATATTCCTAAGTATATAAATGTAGCCTGCTTAGTCCATATAATGTTACTTGTATGTATGAGAAGGCTTACTACTTGGTATTGAACAGACAATTATTGCAGAGGCTCTTTTTTAGTTACCTGTAGTTCTTTGTCTGCTGTGGAGCCCCATGATGTTTCCCTCTTCTGTATAAGCACATCTGTTGGTGTTGTCCTTATTTAGATCTTGTTTAGGCAGCCATGTTACTGAGACTTTATGGGTGTAGCTTCTTGGACATTTCTAGGGGACACTCTCATAGCAGCCTTTCTGTTCTTTTGGCTCTAACAGTCTCCCCTCCCCTTCCTCAGTATTGCCTGACCTTAGATGCAGGACTTGTGTTACAGATGCATCACAACTATGCACCATAAGTCACTTGTTCTCTGCATTGTGATCAGTTGTGGTTTTCTAAGAGAAATTTTGTTGATGAGGGCTGAGAGGTACACTTATCTGTGAATCTAAGGATAAACATTCAGAATCAGGAATTGTGCTAGTTTAGTAAATGGCAGTTGTAGGTTCTCTTGAGATCCATGACCTCATTAGCCCTGTTTAGTTGGCCAGGTTTCCACTGCCATACATGATTTCCCTCTTGTTGTGGGCCTTAAGTATAAATAGCGAGTTGTTGATTACTGCCAAGATATGCATGCAACTATTGTATCCTTAGGGTTATCATTGCCATGCTGGATAGGACTGTTGGTTGCTTCTCTTCCTTGGAAACTTGGATGGCACCTTCTGACACCATGAAAGCTAAACCTCAAGGAACAGGCTTTCAGGTCAAAACCATCAAGTATCCTTCAGCTCCTGTGTCCAAAGTGCATGGTGTCCTTAGCGGTAGGGTGCCTTCCACCAGGGGCAACAACAATAGCCTATGTAATGTTTTAGGAGTTTCTTAGACAATCCTGACCAACAACTAAAAATATTAGTTTATTGGACATTATCTCTAAGGAGAGGAGCGCATTGTCAGCCCAGATGGGATAATTTCATTTAATGTGTGTATTTATGTCTGTGTATAGATTTGTATATGTGTGTGTGTGTGTGTGTGTGTGTGTGTGTGTGTGTGTGTGTGTGTATACAATATTGAGCTTGTATTGAACTTCCTTCCTAATTAAAGCCTACCACCACCCACAGTTTACCATTTATCCTGCTGTTCTATCCCCCTACTACTGCACCCCATCCTGTCCCCCATGTTGTTTTGACATTTTGGTTTCTATGCTCCATTCAATTTTTAAATTCTCTTTAAGAGAGTAAACTTCTTTAAGAATATTCTCTTTAATGTTTTTTGCTTTCTTTCTGTTCCCTTAAGTTCATTGTGGTGTCCCTCAAAGAAGGTATGTTCAACAACGCAAACGTTCTCTTCAAAACTAAGTTCGTGGATGGTGTTTCTACAGTAGCTAGATTTACTCAGAGTCAAAATGGGAGGATTCCAAAGGAAGCAAAGTCCAAGGGAAAAGGACCCAAATGAGCACGTGTTGGAAGTTCAGAGTACAGACTGCTCCCATTGACCTGTTTTTTACACATGATCAAGAATTTGAAGTCTAAGTTGTTTATATGGTAATATTATCATTATTTTCTTACTTAATTCTTTTTATCACTTGTAAAAGAAGAATCCTCTTTTCTTACCTAGTGTGATTGTGGTCCAATTATTGTAGCTGTGATTACATGAATATCATTAATTTTTTTTCTTACAAAAATCTTTTACGTATTAAGGAACCTGAGATCTGCCTAGTTGGTAAATTCTGTATGCAGAAGCCAAAATACAAAGAAACAGATGAAGTTATAGGAAAAATATGGCTGATGTCAGCTTTTAACTAGTTTAATTTCTAAGGACAGTATTCATGAATTTTCTTTTGCTTATAAAATCATTTGAGTATGGATATTTATAAAGCATGTCCTTGGACTAACAAAGGGAACACAGCAATTATGCATGCACTGAGCTGTTTGAGGCCAGTCCTGGTCCAGTCCTGTAGGAATACCATGCCAAATTCTCAGATGGGAAATGGAGCTTGAGAAAAATTTTCACTTTAATGATGTTGGACTATCATGTTTATGTGTGTGCAATAATTGGTCTTTGAGTATTTTAATAGAAGCTCGGGAAGAAATGTGTTGCACCATATTACACTTGTATTGTTCTATCTAAAGTCCTCTAATATTTTTTAAGGTTTTTATCAGACTTCTCATAATCTAATCATTAACCTTTTGGTGATTATAGGACCTAGCAGATTAAGTGAAAAGTATATTTTCTAAGAATCTGATAAACCTAAACATATCTGCCTTTTCTACCAAAATAGCTCAAAGGCTTGATGATTGATATAATTCTTAGTGCCTTCTGCTTGTCCAGGTCAAAGGGTGACACTCCCTTAGAAAGCAGGAGGCAGAGCTAATACTCACCCTGAGATCCTCATCTGCAGTTCTTAGTCTCTCTAGATAACATTTCCACATCAGCACCTCCACACTTGGAATCCTCAGAGCTCTGATGTGATCTAATATGATTTTACAGGTTTGGGCCCATATTTCTTCCTGATACTTAAGCATTTGTTCCTTGGTGTTCTACTTTTTCTGATACCTTATCCAGGCCCTGAGTTGGATATTTCTCAAACTTATTTGCCATACATATCTGTGATGTCCTTAAGTAATTTTTACCCTGTGATATATTGGAAATGATTTCATCTGGAGTGGTTCTGTCTACTGTGGGAGGGAAGAGACACTAAACTGTAAATACTGACCTACAGACAGTGTGGAGCACAGATAATGGACCTACACAGTGTTTTGTTTCCCACGGTGTTATAAACTATTGGTCAAGACAGTTGTGTCTATTCACACTGTCACTGATACAGTATTCTACTTTGGTCACAATCTAATCAATGCCAGCTGTTAATATTTTGGATTAGGCAGTTATAAAATAGCATTGAATTGCTATTTTAGCCAGCATTTTTAAAATGACTTATAAGGTTGACCATTTTGTGTGATTTCCTTTCTTTGGCTATAAATTATTTCCTTGTATGCTTTTCTGTTTTTTGTATTATGTATAATTTTGCTCTTTGAAAATTCTTGTGCATATATTAAATTTCTGTGAGGCATATATTAAATTTTTGTAGTAGTGTTTTTTCAATATAAGAAAGTTGCGGCATTTCATATATTCATAAGACATAGAGTTAACAATAACTTAAGCCAGACGCTTTTCATTTGTATGTTTTTTTTCTTACTTAGTCCTTATGTAACTCAGTGAGGTAATCTTTATCACTGAGGAAACTGAAGAGAGGTTAAGTAACTTGCACACAGTAAGTAATAACACTTAGTGGATGGCTAACTCTAGAAGCACTGGATACTTAGAATGACCATGCCTCATCCAAAAATGCTTGGGGCCAGAAGTATATCAGATTTGGGAGATGCCTTATTTAATTTTCTAATACTGTGATAGAACTCCATGACCAAGGCAACTAATACATGAAAGTATTTAATTTGGAGCTCGTAGTTCAAGAGAGTTAGAGTTCATGACTGTCATGGCAGGGAGCATGGCTGTCAGTGGGCAGGCATGACATAGGAGAAGAAGCTGTGAGCTCACATTTTGATCCAGAGTAACTGCCAGTTTTTGAAAAAACTGTAGTGACAAACTTTATATTGATGAATGTTATAAGGTTACATTTTATACTTTCTATTGCCAAGGAGGAAACAGTACCTTCTCTGCCTGATCTGATTCTGAAGGCAGCAAATTGAACAACTGGGAATACTATTTGACCTATGTACCATGTAACAGGGTAGCTTCAAGAAGGACACAACAAGAAAAGGCTTGGTAAAAAGGTAAAACATCTTTATCCCTTAAGAACATTTGACAAGGCAGAGACTCCATGGTGTAAGTACCATTGTAAAGGGCACTGTGTAGAATTTACAGTAAACTCCAGTGGGATATTCAAAACACAGATCCATCCCTAAGGCAAGACCATGCCATCTACAGTAGCAACTTCACTATCTTCTGAAGCACACTGATGTGTTACCAGACCCTTGAGGAGGAGCACCTAACCATGGGGTAGAAAATGATCATATAGCCCCAAAGCCCATTTTTAGCTCTCTTTCGCCAGATTTGCCAACTCATAATAGTCAGCAACAATAGATTTGAGGATGAAGTGGTGCATTAAGAATAAATCCCCTCAGTGGGCCTAATATTCCCAGGTAATCCACCATTGCCTATCATACTCAGGACTTGAGGGGAATCCCATCCTGCTGGTTGACAAGAGGAGAAAGCATGAGCTCCAGTCACAGATGAAAACACTGCTTATGGATGAAATTTATAGTAAATGCTTGAGATATGAATGTGTTGAAAGATGTTGGCAAGTGGAAGTCCAATGGGGAGATTTAAATACTGCACCTAGTAGTGCACTTTGTGTGAAAACAAGACCTGAAGTTAGAATGTACGAAGACTCCTAGGCAATGGGGAATGGCTTGTCTGGCTACGTAGAGACTAGGAGGAGAAGTTTTGGCCGACTAAGTGCATTCCATCCTCAAAGGTACACGGATGGTATGTAAGTAGGTATAAGAATGGTGACAGATATAAAAATATTTGACTACTACTACCACCAGAGGATCTCTACCAGGGAAGAGGCACCAAAGAGCTAAATGATCAGCGAGCTGGGCAACTATCAGCAAGATGGTGCTTCCAGCCTCCCTAGTATGGACATGGAGGTGCAGAATGCAGTGGGATTTATGTTTTGCCCATTGGTGTGTGTTCACCTTTTTATCACAGCTCGTGGTGCTGCTGAGGGGTGTCTACAATGGAGATAATGGTCCAGCATGTGGAAGGAGATAAGAAGCTTCACCCTTGGTTTGGAAACCAGCTACTACGGCTGTTGTTTGTCACTATGCTACAGAGTTTATTCAATAAGAGCTTTGCTATGACCTTTTGGAAACTTACCAGATGATAGATAAACTTGATTGGGATAGGGGTAGATTTGGTTTAGGGGACTATTTGTCACAATTGTTGCAAATGCCACTGGTTGGGAGTCTTCAGCTGTCATCTTGCAGGTTTTGTTTTAGCTCCCAAGAATTACTTTACCTACGATTGCATCTCTGCATGGGGAGGCCTACATCTAACAAATGGTAAGTTAAAATGGACCCAGGAAACAAGCCATTGTAGCCATTTTAATATTTGACAAAATAGACTTGAAACCCAAACTAATCAGAAGAGATAGGGAAGGATAATACATTCTCATCAAAGGAAAAATCTACCAAGACGGTATTGCAATTCTTTACATCTATGCACCAAACACAAGGGTGCCCAAGTTCATAAGGAGCACAGCTACATCTTAAATCACATAGAGACCGTCACACAGTGATAGCAGGAGACTTCAATACCCCACTTTCACAAACAGGTCATCAAAACAGTGATGCCGGAGCTAAATCATGTCATAAGCCCAGTGGACCTAACATATTTACAGAACATTTCACCCAAACACAAAGAGTACACCTTTTCAGCACCTCATGGAACTTTTTCCAAAATTGACCACATACTCAGACACAAAGCAGTTCTCAACAAATACAAAAAAAACAGAAAGCACCCTGCACCCTGTCTGGCCACCATCGATTAAAGCTGGATATCAACAAACAACAGAAAGCTTACAAGCTCATGGAAACTGAACAACTCTAGTGAATGAAAAATGGGTCGAGACAGAAATGAAGAAAAAAATTAACACTTTTTAGAATCGAATGAAAATGAAAACAGCATAGTCAAATGTAGATGTAACCAACGGTCTTTTTAAATAAGAAACACAGAACCAACGCAAAGAAGAAAGCCAAGAGGTCAGAGCTAAGAGCTAAAACCTTACCCTTCCTCCTGTGGTGGTCCTACCTCTCCGAACCAGAGCTACCCCTGTGTTAAAGTCTTTATATAGAGTTTCTGTTCTGCCTTCTCATTGGTTGTAAACCCAACCACATGACCGTCTCGTCATAGCCTGTCTGTATAGACCTCCAGGTTTTCCATGATTGGTATTAAGATTAAAGGCATGTGTATCCAATACTGGCTGTATCCCTGAACACACAGAGACTTACCTAGCTCTGCCTACCAAGTGCTGGGATTACAAGCGTACGCCACCACTGCCCTGCTTTCCTATGGCTTGCTAATAGCTCTGACCCCCGGGCAGCTTTATTAACATACAAATAACATTTTAATACAAATAAAATATCACCATAGTCAAACATGGGACATAAGGCAGTTCTAAGAGGTAAGTTCATAATACTATGTTTCTACATTAAAAAAAAGTAGAGAGATCATATATTAGTAACTTAGAACACACATAAAGGCTCTAGAAAAAAAATAGCGCCAAAAATGAGTAGCTGTCAAGAAATAAACTCAGGGCTACAATCAGTAAAATAGAAACAAACATACATACCATCAATGTAACACCAAGTTGGTTCTTTCAGAAAATCAATAGGATTTATAAACCCTTAGCCATAAAAGGCAAAAAGAAGATATCCAGATTAACAAAATTAAAGATGAAAAGAGGACATAACAGATACTGAGGAAATCCAGAGACTCATAAGGACATACTTTAAAAACCTGTACTCCACAAAATTGAAAAATCTTGAAGAAATGGATAATTTTCTCAATACATACTACTTATTATCAAAGTTAAATCAAGATCAGATAAGCAATTTAAACAGACCTCTAATTCCCAATAAAATAGAAGCAATAATTCAAAGTCTCCCTACCAAAAAAAAAAAGCCCAGGGCCAGATGGTTTTAGCACAGAATTTACCAGATATTCAAGGAAGAGTAACTGCCAGTACTCAAATCATTCTACAAAAAGAAACAGGAGGAGCATTGCCTAATTCTTTTTACAAAACCATAGTTATCCTGACACTTAAACCCCATAAAAACACAACAAAGAAAATTACAAATCAATTGCCCTTATGAACATAGATGCAAAGATTCTCAGTAAAATATTTACAAACCAGACCAAAGAATACATCAAAAAGATCATCCACCATGATCAAGTAGGCTTCATCCCAGAAATGAAGGAGTCGTTCAACATATGTAAATTGATAAACATAATCCACCATATAGAGAAATTGAAAGAAAAAAACATTAGCACCTCATTAGATGCAGAAAAGCCTTTGACAAAATTCAACCAACACCCCTTCAAGATAAGAGTCCTTGCGAGATTCAGTGAAACAAGCCATAGTCAATATCAACACAAAAGTCATTCCACTAAAGTCAGGAACAAGACATGGTTATCTACTCTCTCCATACTTATTCAATACAGTACCTGAAGTCTTAGCTAGTGCAATAAGACAACTGAAGGAAATGACCCTAAAAATTCCAAGAAACTCAAGATAACAAAATAAATACACAAAAATCAGTAGCCTGTGGTAGTTTGAATATAATTGGCCCCCATAATCTCATAGGGAGTGGCACTATTAGCAGATGTGGCTTTGTTGGAGTGGGTATGGCCTTGTTGGAGGAAGTGTGTCACTATGGGGACTGGCTTTGAGATTTCCTATGCTCAGGATACCGCCCAGCATTTAGTCGACTTCTGTTGCCTGCAAGCCAAGATATATAACTAGCACCATGTCTGCTCGCACTCCGCCATGCTCCCTGCCATGATGATAATGGACTGAACCCTGAACTTTAAGGGAGTCCCCTCAATTAAATGTTTTCTTTATAAGAGTTGTGGTCGTGGTGTCTCTTCACAGCAATGAAAACCCAAACTAAGACACCTTCCTATATGCAAAGAACAACAAACAGACTGAAAAAGAAATAAGGGAAACAAAACCTTTGACAATAGCTTCAAAAATCATTATCTTGGGGATAACTCTAACCAAGCAAGTGAAAGACTTGTATAATAAAAACTTCCAGATGTTGGAGGGAAAAAAAAATGAAGAAGATATCAGAAGATGAAAGATATCCCATGCTCATAGATTGGTAGGGTTAATATTGTAAAAATGGCCACTATACCGAAAGCAATCTACAGATTCAATGAAATCCCCATCAAAATCCCAACACAATTCTTCACAGATCTTGAAAGGACAATTCTCAACTTCATATGGAAATATAAAAAACCCAGATAGAGCCGGGCGGTGGTGGCGCACGCCTTTAA